TGCCATGACCTAGTAAACATAACACAACGATAACAACAAGAATTATGGTGTATTGTGATTGTTAAATTGCTAATACATAATAAATGTTTTAGTTCAAATAATTTGTTATATCAACTACACTGTGTGTTAAGTTTTCATTCTAAGACTGGTTCATATAATTTGTTATATCAGCTCTGATGTATTATATCTTATACGAGACATAAAAATTTCTTCTTTTGTTCTTTTATCACCTTTCTGTTTTGCAATCTGTGCAAAATTATTATAAAATACGAGTATTATAAAACCTAGAATGTGTTCTATTAACCTAAAATGTGTTTCACTAACGTAAAAGTATTCCACTCTCTCATGTTTTCAAGCCATAATCACCCATGATATTAAATGTGGAGATGAGTTTGTTACTCATATTACACGTATAAATAGATCACTTCACACATCCTTAAGGACAATAATTATATATGTCTCATGAATTAAATTTTATTTGTATATTTGTTAGTTTTTATAATAATATATATCGTAAATTTTTTAATAAATCGAAACTTTAGAGGATTCATGCTAATACAAAATATTTCTTTTATTTTGCCCTTCTCATTTTTATTTCAAGAAAAAACTTAAGTTTTTTTAAGAAAAAGATTAACATTATTATTAAATTTAACAAAGAAAAACTATATTAATCCATATTTATGAATTACACAACAACATGAAATCATACAAAATAATATTATATATAATTTAAAATTAAAAAAAATATATATATATATATATATATATATAATATTCAATCAAATATGGAAAATATAATAATATATTCAATTCAAAACTTAGAAATATCACGTATTTAAAAAAAATGAATACACTTAATTTTTAACAAAAAATTTAATAAATAACTATAAAATTACCTAAAAAGCATATGAAAACTAAGTTATAAAGAAAATTTTAGTTTACGTACTAAGATTTGAAAATTAATGTTTTCACAAAAATTAAAATTAAGTTTACGTATTGAATAATCTATTTTAAAATAATAATGATAATAATAAAAAATTAAAATTTTATATTTATATTTATTATTATTATAAATAAAGTTACTGAATAATTATACGACGAAAAAGTTATTATACACGTGTGATTGCGCCTAGGATTTTGGTTTAAACTAGAAAAAAAAAACATTGTCAAAATATTTGTATATAGATGTAACTAAACAAAAAAGTAATTAGTTTTAAACATATAATAGATTAGGGATGAAAATAAATAAATAAATAAAGTTAAAAACATTAAATTGTAGTTTAGTTTTTTAAAACAATATATTTAAACAGATTTTTTTCTTTTATTAAATTTTTCATATAAATTCATAGGTTAATAAAGTTGTATTTATTATATTGATTTCTACTTTTCAAGTTCTTATTTCTTTGTAAATATATATATATATACTAGGTAGAGTACGTTCAACTTCTTCTAATATTCTTTTACTAACTAAACAATGTAAAATTCTTTCTAGTATTCCCAAAAAGAACTATTAGGATAATATTAAATTATTTGAAGTGAAGATAATTGTTAACTCCCACAGTAAAATAAAATAGTAATAATAGTATTGATAATAAATTATTCAGTATTAATATACAATTTATTTAAAATTATAAAAAATCAATAAAATTGTACCTCCTAATATTTTTAATATCTGAATTCCTTATTATAAATCATCTATAATATCTTAATTGTTTTCTACTAAAAAAGCTAAAGATGAGTACAACAAATTTTGCATATGTTTCCACGTGTCTGTTGATGCTATAATTTCAGTAAATTGTGTTTAACGATATTTTTTATCTTTCTTTTAAGGTTTGAACGTGCAATTGCAAATTGATCAATGATTTGAGATAAATAATATCTTATTAATAAACAATAAATATAAGAAGATGAAAAACAAAAAAAATAAAATATAAAAATATATTTAATAATTACTAAATTCTAAAAAATTAACAAACTCTCATCTTTCCCCTTAAAAAAAAACTCCGTCCCGAAGGAGATTGCAAATAATTAAAAGGAATTTTACATTGTAGATCCCTGATTGACAAGAGTGGACTACACAATTAGGTTTTTTATGAACATGGATAAGAGGCACTTCTCAAACTCTATTGAGAATATCTAAAATATTTAATATGTAATTTTCATGAGAATGACTAGGGGCATGTCATCTTATGGATATCACAATATTCGAATTTTTCATCTCATCTATAAACTGTAAAAGTCTATATCCTGCAAAATTTGTTTTATTAGATGGTTTAAACATGTGTTTGTTAAAATTGTTTTACATTCGTTATCAAAGTGTATGATTTATCTCTTGTTCTTTTTCTTTTTTCCTATTGTGTTTTTATTATATGGACAAAAATGAGAATATAATGTTTTGTTAATATTTCTATCATGAAAATGAACTTTTCCGACATTAATTTAAAATAAAAAAGAAGTTAGATCTCAAATTCAACCTATCCAAAATTGAACATGATTAAAAAATTGTATAGATTTAAGGAATTAAGTAAGCATGTGAATAAGACATGTCAATCAATCCACCTCCAAACCTTTTAATTCATTCATCTCGTTTCGATTATAAATTAAGTTTTCATTATATTTTTGTTAAATTTTGGATTTTTTTTATTTTTACTTATTCCTGTTTTATATTATTTTTAAAAGATAATTATACTTATAATAAAATTATTTTAATATTTTAATATATATTTTATATGAAAATAAATATTTATATTTTTACAAAATTAAATTATTATTATTAATAAAATAAATAATTTAATTTATATTAAAAAATATATATATATATTTATTTAATTACTAGTAATATTATAATAATAATAATAATAATAATAATAATAATATGTAATATATTTAAATATTTAATTACATGTATAAGATAATTATCTTTTATGTTGTGATTTTAAAATGTTAATAAATATAAAATATATAACTTATAAGAAAATATTGAATAAGTTAATTTTTATTTAATTAATTTAAAGTAATAAAAGTTTTAGTATTAATTATTTTTAATTTTTTAAAATATAATTATTTTATTAAAATACAAATTGATATATGATAAATAACAATAATAAATATAAAAAGTATGATATAATAAAATTTAATAAAGATAAATTAGAAAAATAATAATATTGGTTATTAATAAGAATGATATAGAATATTTAAAAAAGATAAAAAAATTATAATTTTGTATTTGTTAAATTAGTTGAAAATATTAAAAAAAAGAGAATAATTAAAAAGATTAACCAATGCCAGGAGGTGAAGGAGAAACTGTATTAAAGTAATTGATTTAAGAGATTAAAAAAGATAAAGAGTAAAAAATAAATAAAAAATTAAAGAGAATGAAATATAAAATAATGTCTTTATATAATGTGAGAACATTAACGAAATATTTTTAAAAAATCTTAAAATTTAAATTTAAATATAAAATTAACGCATATATGACAGAAAAATATATATTAAAAGATTATATTATTTATCTCCTTTTTCACTCTTTTTTTCATAAAAAAATTTATTTTTTATTTTCATCCTCAATCAACCCAACTTTTTTCTTATCAAATTCTAGAAAGGATATGAGTTTAATAATCATAATATTAAGTCATAAGAATTTTTAGAATTATGTATGACATTTAATTATGTTTGGTACAATGGTAGTTGTGTATTTAATTTATATGTAGGTAGTTGTGTATTTAATCCTGTTAAGAATACGATGGATAAATAAATTTTAAATATTATATATGATATGTAATTTTTTACTTAACCAATTATTCTCTTCAACAATGGATGTTTTTCTTATTTATGTTTATTAGATAATTTAAATGTATTATATTAAAATTATTTAACAAGTTTATATTTATTAAAATTGTTGTATATCTATATTATGAACTAGTTGTTAAATTAGTCCACTTAATTTGAAATATATGATAATTCAATAGTGGAAAAGTAAAATAATTTTCACTTAAATATTTGACTTTGTCACGTTCTAAAGGTCACTGATTTTATTTTTACACGAAATAACACATTTTGGATTATATTTTTGTCCAAGTATAAAAATGAGATATCAGTAAGAAAAAAAAGTACTATCATAAAATCCACTTTTTTTAAATGCAAAAGAATTTTTGATTGAATGGAACATAATTAGAGAACAATTAAACAAAATATAAACGAAACTAAAAACAAATCCAATACTTAACACTCTATTTATTCTTTATTTATATTCTATAAATTGACTAATTATATTAGTCTTACGTCTTTTTATTTTCCACATTTCTCTTACAGTAGCACCGCCTAAACTCTTAACCAATCATAAATAAACATGTACCATGTATTGAAGATCCAATTGTAAGAACATGTTTGGGATTTGATTTTGCAATTTCTGTTGTTGTCATGAAAAAAATAACTCTTAATAAAATAAGTTTGATATTTGAAATATCAACTTAAATTTAATAATTTTTTAAAATAAACTATTTTTCATAAACTTAAAATTTTAAATATATTTATATATTATACACAAATAATAATTTTAAAAATTACTTTTAAGAAAATTGATTAAGAAGTATAATTATATTTGTGAAACACACATAAATCCAACAGCAGCCCGCATGCCATACCGGGGGCAAATTGATGGCACACTTGAGCAGGACGTATAGATATTTAATAAAAAAAGGAAAAAATATAAAGTCTTGGAAATGTTAGAGGCGGAGATTTTTTGTCGTGTCATACCGATATTCATTCGATTAAACCCCCAAACACAGTAACCAATCCCAACCCTCGGTTAGGCTCAAACTCCAATGCCGCGAGACACACGCGCCACTCTTATTTCTTTTTATAGAAATAAAGCGATTGAGAGTAGGAGATTTTCTTTGTGGCCTCACCCAACCCAATTGCGTTGCGTGTGCAAGGAAAGTACGACCACCATATAAGAACCTCCTCCCACTTTCAAGTGCAATTTCGTCCAAGAACCGAATATGGCTTCAACTCTGCTCCCCCTGGCAACCTTCTTCTTACTCCTCTCCGCTTCTTATCTCCGGGTATTACTTTTGTAAACCCTGTATGTGTAATAATGATTATTAGTATCTTGTTTGGTTTTTTTAATCACTTTGTTTTTCACAGATTGCTGGGGCAGAAGCAGAACCGTTGACCAGTCTCAAGCTTAATTCTCCAATTCTTCAGGTGATTTCGTTAACTCAACCTCGTCTCGCACGTGTTTATGCCAGTCAGGCTCAATTTATTTGTTCTCGTGAAATCGGGGGAAAGCCATGACTGATCTTAATCATTATAGTGCTAGTGTCTATGCTTATATTTTGTTTGTTTTATGTCTTGGTTTGGGGGCGAATATTTTTGGTTTAAGATTGTATGTGTTTTTTGCTAAAGTGTTTAAAGCGCTATTTAGCTGAAATAGTCTCTTTCCATCCATTTCATTCAGATGATGTGGAACGAGTATTTGAACATACGATCTACGTTATGTGATTGATGAATGTTTTTAACGTTGTGATGCAGGAGTCTATTGCTAAACAGATTAACGAAAATCCTGAAGCAGGATGGGAGGCTGCTATAAATCCTCGTTTCTCCAATTATACAGTTAGTCTTGAACTTATCTTGCACGCTTTTGAAGTGTGGATTTCACCGTTTCACTTGCAGATGCTTTGCTTAGTTACATAATATGCTTTGACTCACAGGTTGGACAATTTAAGCGCCTTCTTGGAGTCAAACAAATGCCCAAGAGCGAACTGAGAAGTATACCCGTCATTTCTCATCCAAAATCATTGAAGTTGCCGAAGAATTTTGATGCAAGGACAGCTTGGTCGCAGTGTAGCACTATTGGAAGAATTCTAGGTCACCACCTACTTGCTCGTTCCCCCTTATTTTATTTATTCTAATTAATTAGTGCATTTGGAAGAAGGTGCTGACTCTTGTTTTCATTGTTAACTATGATATGAAATGCTAAACTAACTTTCGCATTAAAGATCAGGTAATCCTCCTATTTTCACAGTTACAACTTTTAATACATGCAAGTTTCAAAAGAGTTTTTAACTGATCCTTGTGATGAATTGTGATGATTCAGGGTCACTGTGGTTCTTGTTGGGCATTTGGTGCTGTCGAATCATTGTCAGATCGCTTTTGCATTCATTTTGATGTTGTAAGTAAAATTTCTTGTTGAAGCAATGTTGAACTTTGTGTTGCTTATCGTGTATGTTTGTGAAGTTTTATTCTTTTCGTCTCCCTTTCTCCCTGGATCACACTTAGTTGCTTGAAAGAGGAATTTATATCCTGTGTTTTTATTGCAGAATGTTTCTCTATCTGTTAATGACCTTCTTGCATGCTGTGGCTTTCTGTGTGGATCTGGATGTGATGGAGGATATCCCTTATATGCATGGCGATATTTAGCCCACCACGGTGTTGTCACTGAAGAGGTAATACTATCCACTTTGCCTTAACAGTTTCCACTTGTTAATCATAAAAATGGTTATTGCTAAGGGACGAAAATTATAAGCTCCTTCTCAACTAAATCTTCCTTCCAATTGATGCATATTTTTTTGGCTGAAGACGCATTTCACTATTATCCCTAAATCTGTTTTTTCCTCCTAACCTTCTCACGCTCAGAAAATTCCTTTATGTGGCAGTGTGACCCATATTTTGATCAAATTGGCTGTTCTCATCCTGGTTGCGAGCCAGCTTATCAGACTCCCAAGTGTGTTAAAAAATGTGTAGATGGGAACCAGTTTTGGAAGAAGTCAAAGCACTTTAGTGTCAATGCCTACAATGTCAAGTCTAATCCCTATGATATCATGGCAGAAGTGTACAAAAATGGGCCAGTAGAGGTTGCATTCACTGTTTATGAGGTAAATGAAAACTTTTACCCTCACTTTGCAATAAAATTTTTCTGCAACTTTCCATATCAATGTCTGAAAACTCAACACATCGTATATATAACTTATAATTATACAAGATATTTTGGAGACAATTCATTGAGAGTGGTTGAGATTGGTGCATGTGATCTAACATGCAAAACATGTTACAAAATTCTCTCTTTGTCATAACATAAAAAAAGGGGTTTATGTATGACTTTATTAATCAAATAAAGGGTGTGCTTTACTTTATTAAAAACATCAGAAAGGTGAGGAACTAATTAAAATATAGAGGGAATATGAATGTCATTTAAGAAGATAGCAAGGGAATGTGAGTGTCATTTACGAAGATTTTATGTAATTCTCCTTAAATTAAAGGTAAAATTCATTATATTTGTATGGATAGGACTTGCTTTATGGTATTTTGATTGCAATGCTGGGATGGTGTTTGCAAGAGAATTAGGATATGCAGTTATCTAGGTTGTAGTACAGTGAATTAAGAAAGTTTAAAATTCAATTTAGGGTAGCAATATGAGTAGTCATTGTCACAACAACAATAGAGTGCACGCATTAGGTCCTGTTTGGAGTAGTTAAGAGTTTTTGGTCTTCCAATGCATTTTTCCAAAAGAAAGTGTTGGTGAAAATGGAGTTGAAATGGTTTTTTTACTCAATGTTGAAACATTTTTACATTCATTTTCAAAACCAAGAAAATCTACTTGCACATTTGGTTTTAGTTTTGAAAAAAAAAAAAAAACTTTTGTTGTTTTTGGTAAAGACCGTTCTTGTTATTAGCAATGTTATTTTTGCTATCACTACCAATGCCAACAATTTGTCATTACCATCACTACCATTGTTACTAATACCACCACTATTAACATTATTGTTGTTGGCAGCACTGCCATTACAGTTATCACCATAGATAAATATATTTAAACTACAATGCATAATTCACTTAAGAAAATCCCAACCACTAAATATGGCATAGGTAGAAATTTCTAAAAGCTTAATTCCATTCGCCACATAAATTAAGAGGCTATGTTTTTTTGGTCAGCAATTAAGAGAGGTTATCAATGCTAAACAAATTCAGTATTTTAATTTTTAACTATATGAAAAGTTGAATCAATAATAAAATCAGAAATAAATGAGACAAAGTAGTGGGTGAAGAGAATTTGTTACATTTGGCCACTGTTAACCCAGAAAGCAGTCTAAAAACAATATGTTTCTAATTGGTTGGAAGAGTTTAAAGAAATGTATCATAAGGGAAAAAACTGTTTTTAAAAAGCTACAAATTTTCTCACAAACGGATAAAAGTGTTAAAGAACCTAAATGTTCAAAATTGCTTCGAAATTTTCTATTTAGTCCTGGTTAATCACAGAAATGCTGCTCAAAATTGAAAATCAGAAGATTTTGTTCAAAACAGAACAGCTCTTTTGATATATTTATGCTAAATCCTTTCTAATAATGTATAACAATTAATTATAGTTAATTGCGCCCCCTGACTCTATGGTACTGACATCTAGTGGGTGTGCAAATTGAATATGACACGATTGAGGATTGCTTTTGGGTTAAAACTTTAAACATGATACGTGGAAGGAGAATGTTTGGAGATCGTATAAATGGTCTGGAGTGATAATTAGGTGATAAAGTTGTTGGGTTTATAGTGATTAAACAAGCAAATTATATCATGGCGATTTTCAATTTTTATTTCGAACTTTTCTAATTATTTTTTTCCTTAATTGTCATATTGGCATTAGTGATTACTTTTAGCTAGCCCGAGCGAGCTTTAATACGTTACAATTAACTTCCCCAAATGTCACCGCCAGCAGCAAAGAGTCTTCTCTTTTCCATGTTTTTTGGTTGCCTTTCTGGAGCAGCATTGCCCTAAGAATTGTGCAAGACCCACTGCACATTTACTATTGTTTTTTAGATTTTTCTTACTTAATCGCAAGTCTCTCATTGTAAATGTTGTTCATTTGTGACATTTTATCATTCCATAGATCTTCACGTATTCCAGATCTGTGTCATACTCAAATTTTCTTCTTCTTTCAATTAAGTTGGGTGCCTCTAAAGTTTTTATATATATGTTTTTCAAATTTACCTTGCATGTACCATAGCCGTAGTTTTCTTCAATAAGGCTAATGTTGGTGCTGATGGGGTCTGTTGCTTTTGATCAATCCCTTTGCTTTCATCACCACCTGTTTGAAGAAGTATGTAATAGCTGGTCCTAGGTGTGTCATTGCTCTACTCTTCTGTGGTATATTATACTCCTTAATTGTTCCTTTGGGGCTGGTTTTCACTCGTGCATGTCTGGAGCTGTTGGTTTTCATGGAGGGTTTAATGGAGGTTAATGTTTACAGATAAAGAAAAAATGTCAAATTTCACATGGAAAAGGTTTTGGACCAAAAATACTAAGTAAACTAATATCATATTCCATTCATACATTTGATTAATGCCCGAAAGTTGTGGGCTTTTCAAGGGTATATGATGCTCATTAAGGGATTATTAAGACAAGGATTGTGTGGAAGGGTTTTCGTATTAGTATCTGTTTCTATGCATCAGTCTGCTAAAATACTGAGTGAGCAGTCATGGCAATTTATGCATTAACAAAAAAATTGGTTCTGTCATTAAATATTTATTCCTTGGTTTCTTTCTTTCCAGTTCTGATTTCTCTTTTTTCCTTTTTTACCCTTTATTTGGGTGCTCTCTATCAGATTCAGAACAAAAATCGGGGGCAATTGTCATCTTTTGTACTTGAGATTGTGGATTGACCGTAGGATAGAAAGTAACAATTTCAATTAAGAAACTAGTATTATCAATCAGAACTAGTGTAGACACAATTTTAGCATACCAAAAATATAACAGACTTTACAACAACCTGGCCTATTATGTGTTGTATGGGTCACCCCATAGCTATCAAGCGCCGCTTTAGAAGATTTTTTGGTCATTGGATTCTCTTTATTAAAAGCATTATCCAATAGGAGTCATTTATTTATTCATTTTGGTTGCTTGGTCTCTTACATGCGATAAAAATCATGCAACTACAACTTCTTACGTCAGTTTCTTGTCCCCTTCATTCGGGCCCTCGAATATATCATATCATCCTTCCCGTTTAAGCATTTTGAAGGGGCCCTCTTTGCTAGTGACCTTTCAATTAACTAAAAATCCGTAAATATTCCCTGCGTCATTTTGCAGGTAATAAATATCTAGACCAAAAACATAATGATTACGTTAACCTTATTTTTCCTTGTGTGAATAGTCTCAAGCCTATTGTGCAGTTTACTTGGTTGCTTCAAGGAACGTTTACCTTATACTAATTTGACCTCATCACAGGATTTTGCTCACTACAAATCAGGAGTTTACAAACACGTCACAGGTTATGCACTGGGCGGTCATGCAGTAAAGCTAATTGGGTGGGGAACAACTGACGATGGGGATGACTATTGGGTATGTTGATATGATATGTTCCTGATTTACATTTCAGTCCCCTAGGAGATACTATCTGAAATTCAGATTTTTGTACTGATTGGGTACTTTACGTTGTTCCAGCTTCTCGCAAATCAGTGGAACAGAGAATGGGGAGATGTATGCTTCTTAAATTATTCTCCAACTTGAATAACTGTTACTTAAAACATGCCTTATCTAATGGACTAATTTAATATTTACCGCAGGATGGTTACTTCAAGATCCAAAGGGGGACAAACGAATGTGGGATTGAAGAGGAGGTAACTGCTGGTTTGCCTTCTACCAAAAACCTCGTAAGAGAGGTGACTGATATGGATGCTGACGCTGCTGTTTCATTCTGAATGTAAATATGTTACCTTACCAATTATATTCTGTATGGGTATTGAAATCGAAAAATCAGCACTACACGTTGCCTGTAGTCTGAACCACTATGTTATTATGATTACGATGTCGAATTCATGTCTTGGTAATAATGCTTTGGTTGGTTTACAAACCCCTCTCCATTGTGTGGGTTTTTTATTTTTCTGCGTTTGAATTGGTTTTCAAATTCTGTTATTTAAGTTGAGAAAATGTTTCATTCAGAGTTTATCCAATGGAGTAGTTTCTTATCGATTCTTATGCATTGGAGGAAATTGGGTTGGATTTTTATTCAAGATTAGTTGCTTGTACAAAATATTACATATTATCTGAGATAACATAATATTTTAAGCTGAAATAAGAAGTATACATATAAGCATTAATACTTGGAGTTAATTCAGTTAGCTTAACTGTTATTGGAGTTACAAATTAAAGGAGGAACTTACTTAAAACTGGAATCACGAATTAAAGGAGGAACTTATTTTAAAACTTAGGCATTAAAAAGTTTTCTTGCATTTCTTAGATCCAACAGTGGAATTGTAGCAACTTCTTAAGAGCTCATTTAATCAATCAAGAGCATCGAGGGTATCTTTTGTACAATTTTAAAATATAAAAATCAAATATGAAAAACACATGTTTAAACTCAACGCCACTAATGTGTATAGCGGGTGCAAAAGCAAATGGTCGTTCAAAACATCTTTAGATGTGCATGTGTGGTTGTCTCCGTTAGTTATCCAGTTAAATATAACCCATCGTGGCTGCCTGCGAGTGCATGCAGAGCTAAATGAAGTTGCAAAACATAACAAAAAGGGTCTCCATGCTCTACTTTACTCTACTATACTCTACTCTCTACTCTACTCAAATAATTGCTATGGTAGCTATCGACAAAGCACTATAGAGCTCTTCATTGTTACGCAACCTAGCTCATTACAGCGGGGGATGAATGACGCTTCCTTATAGGAGCCTCTTGACAAAGCACGAGCCATTTTGGTTAATTGTCATGAATTGGATAATGTCACAACCTTTGAAAGAATGAGAGTGACGTGACACCTGTTTTTGTCGCTAGCTTTTTTTTTCTTAATAACTTTTGATAGATGTTGCTTTCTCAAATAAAGAATGAAAGTGATGGAACATTGCTCCTAAAAGAGGGCGTAGAGGTAGTGAGAGAATCAATGTGCTGCATCAATATCACAGTGGTTTCTTCAAAGAACACAGCAAATGGGTTGTTAAGCCATTAATTAATTGCAAGTAAAACCCAATTTCAGCTAAGAAAAGCTCTGTCATTTGTGTGTAAGCATTCATTAGTCAAGATTCTTTATGGTGAAAGCAGTTCAAAGTAATTATAAACCATTTGCTCTCCACCATGTCATTCACGTTCTTTTCTAGAATTTTCCATTAATTTACTTTACTTCCATTAGTCCTTCACATGCGCATTATTTAATTCAGTTGTGTTATTATTTTTAGATAGTGTGCAACTTACGTAAAGACACACAAGAGAAGTAACTAATTTGTTTTGGCAAAGAAAAATACAAATAAAAACTAATAATGTTGATTAACATGATTTAAATCAGGTAAGCAAAACAAAATAATATTCTATCATTATAATTTGGGTTTAGAGTAAATTCAATTCTGCAATTTACAAGATAAGAACAGTCCTCCATTTATATACTTTCATTTTAAATTTGTTCTTATTTTCAGACCTAACAACACACAGCACGCATAACGGTTTAAGATAGAAACGTGGAAGTTTAACTCTAATTCGGCTTGGAGGTTAATTAATCAAAACCAGTCAGTGGAAACTTATTTTTATTAGTTAAGATTTTATTAATATTATATTATTGTGTGGAACTAATTAATTAGCCTTGTTTGTTGGGCCCCTTTAAAATGTCCTTCGCCCTTGGACCAACTGATGTCGGGACCCACTAATTGCCATTTTTTCCACGTTTGTTTATTCCCTTTGTGTTTTATCTACCTATTTGAACAGGACTACTTTTCTTTTTTATTTTTATTTTCTCCAATTACACGAAAATATTGATGTAAGAAAGCATTATTGAAAAAGGCATACAACAACGTGGATAGTTATGTACAGCTTGCGACTTTCTCACATTAAAAAAATCCGTTATTTTCTTACAAACTCTTATTTTACTTGTATATTATTTCTTATTTTCACAGTCATTAAATCGATTGGTATAAATAATAATTAAAAATATAAGAGATATGATATAATAACTTCATAAACTTCAACTACGGAACTAAAAACATGTTAAATTACATAATATTTTGATCTAGTTGTAGCATTATCCACAAGATAGGTTAAATTTCGTAATCTTTTATTCTTTCTTTATTCTTTCTGTGATTAATTTGTGTGGCGAATATAAAATTGCGATTGAGAAGGAAAACGCTAGTACGGTGGATGGACAAAGCGCATCTTGCACCCAAGCGAAGACAGAGAAGAGAATATTCAGAGCATAAGCTATAAGTTAAACATTAATCGCAACCTGAGAAATAAAGATCGCCTCATTGTTTTTCCCCTTAGAAAAGTGCTTTTTGTATTTTTAATTTTATAAAGACAATTATATTAATAACAATTAAATAAGCATACACGTTAAACAGGTTTATTAACAAACAAAATAAAATCAGGGAAGATTCGTGTTTCCGAGCTCGATCACATTCAGCTGACACGCCTTTCTTCATCACTCTTCTTCACTCACTCACGTCTTTCACGTTGTTGGTGTTAGTTTGAGAAATTGAGTAAGTCCGAAAGTGAAACCGAGTTATAAAATAAATAATCGATGTTAGGTAATTGGAAATCCGCGGGAGGTGGAGAGAGAAAGAGAGAGAGATAAAATCATCGGCAAGAGTAACGAGTGTAGAAAGGAACAAGAAGTGTGGTGCAACACTTGGTTGTTTGGATTCGCAATTCGAAGCGAAGTGAGTGAGCTGGTTCGATGTCGCAGATACCGAAGGAGCCAGAGCAGGTGATGAAGATGAGAGGAGGATGTGTGTTGGGGAAGAGAACGATTCTGAAGAGCGACCATTTCCCTGGTTGCCAGAACAAGCGTTTGTCGCCTCAGATCGAAGGCGCTCCCAATTATCGCCAGGTAGGTCTTCTTCGTCTTTTCATTTTCTGTCAATTCATCTATTTCCTTTTTTTTTTTTTTAATTTAATCAGGTAGTTAATGTTATTGTTGTTGTTGTTATTGTTAGGCATCGGACTCGTTGCATGTTCACGGTGTTGCCATTCCAACCATTGATGGAATTCGGAACGTTCTCAACCACATTGGTGCTCGATTGAAAGTTCTCTGGATTAGCCTTCGTGAGGAACCGGTGTGTTAAATTTTTATTTTAATTTAACCTATGTCTGAGTTCAAGGAGATTAGGTTTTTAAAACTAATTGTTGTTTGGCATGAGTACTTGAGTTTAGGCGAAGTATTGTTAGTTCAACTTTAACTCAGTTTTTGCCGTATGAGATGATGGATGCTTGTGATAATGTTCTCTCATTTGTATTATTTTTTTCCTTTATTGGAATCAGCTTGCCTACATTAATGGTCGTCCTTTTGTTTTGCGTGATGTGGAGAGGCCGTTCTCCAACCTTGAGTATACGGTATGTAGTTGTGGTGCATCTCAGTTCTGTGCTGGCTGTCAATTTATTGGGATGCTCACATTGCAAGTTGGATTGAATTGAGTCCGTTAACTTGTGTGGCATTCTGTACTTGATTAGGGAATTAACAGAGAAAGGGTTGAGCAAATGGAAGCTCGTTTGAAAGAAGACATCCTGGTGGAGGCAGCGAGGTAATTCTGTGGCTCTGCTCTGCGTTTGTCATGAGCGTGTCCTGTGAATTTGTGGTTGGTTTTATGCTTTACTGTTAATCTTATTTGCACATGGATATAACAGATATGGAAATAAGATTCTTGTGACTGATGAACTGCCAGATGGGCAGATGGTGGACCAATGGGAGCCGGTGTCATGTAATTCTGTGAAGACACCACTCGAGGTATGGCTGAAACTAGTATACAGTGTAGCGTGAGACTTCTTGATCAATTTTCTGATGGAAATGCATCAAGGTTGTTTTCTTTGCTGTAGGTGTATGAGGAATTGCAAGTGGAGGGATATCTTGTTGATTATGAACGAGTTCCTATAACTGATGAAAAATCACCAAAGGAAATGGATTTTGATATTTTGGTTAGTATTTTGTATGTATATGTTATGCCCTATCACATTTGGTACCACTTTCTGCATACTTGTTCTTTTGGTGCAATCAAGGGTTGGGTAATTTAGTTTCCTTCTCTATTGTCTTGTCATTGAGCTGCTGCTGCTGACTCTGCTTAATTGTGAGGACTCTTGTGTTTTTATATTTTATACAGTAGTTATCTACATTGAAAACTCGTCCTCTTCATTTTTTTTTTAGGTCAATAAAATTTCTCAAGCTGATGTACACACCGAGATAATTTTTAACTGTCAAATGGGTCGTGGACGAACTACAACAGGAATGGTCATTGCAACTTTGGTCTACCTCAACCGAATAGGGGCCTCTGGTACTCTTTATTTATTTATTTTTTTTATTTTATTGCTTGTTTTGTTTTATTTATATAATTGTTCATCTAAGAAATTTGAATGTAAGACTGGTTTCTTGTATATTGAGCAACAGATTTGGGACTACTTATGTTACTGTTTAATGAAAAACAACTGTTCTTTTTCATCAAAATTCACTACTTTGCTTCAACAATACTAGAGCATATGAATACACATTCCAGCATTTAGTTAGCATAAAAAGTCGGATTTTTCATATGCTGAATTTTAATACCAAGACAACCTATTGTAGATGCCCACACCCTTCCATTCTGTTTTCGTCAGCATCTACCTTGGTTATGATGTTGGTTGAGAGTTTAATGTAGTAGGATCTGGTTGCTTATTTCTGTGGCCTGGTTATTTCACCAGCTCTTGAAAAAGAAAACAGATTTTATGGTAAGACCATGCTTTATTTCATCTCCAAAGGGTCTGTTTATTCCATACCAATAGCTAGTTTACAGGGATTCTTCCAGCTGGTGATCATGGGAAAGTTGCATGTTTGTATGCATGTGCGAATGAGTCTAACATATGTGATGAAAGCACTGACCTATTTATTGAAGTGAGAGAAACTTAAGATTTGACAATTTGTTCAATTCTTGCCATCCACAGTTAATTATAACCTTGATTAGTTTTTTTTTTCATTTTGCTCTCACAACATATCACTACGTTCATTGGGTATGTATGCATGCATAAGATGTTAGTTCCATGAATTTGATATTGCTAGTTTATTTACCGAGTAACCTTTATTTAAAATTATTAAGTTGCTTGGAAAGAAAATTGAATGATGCCTATTTTTATTAAATTTCTTTAATTATTCCTTTAATTTATTCTTACTCTATTGTCATCAAGTTCAAATCATAACGTGTACCAGTGGCATTGCCATTAACAAAAAATTGCATTTATGTTATTGAATGATAGGGTTCCCAAGAAGCAATTCAATTGGTAGAATTTTTCAAAGTATGACCAATGTTGCTGATCATTTACCTGACTCAGAAGAAGCAATTCGCAGAGGAGAGTATGCAGTCATAAGAAGCTTGATTCGGGTGTTAGAGGTATTGGTATTGACTTTAATTTTAATTTTATAGAATAAAATATGTTCTTGTTGTCCGAATTATCAGATATGTTTCAGGGTGGTGTTGAGGGGAAAAGACAAGTGGACAAAGTCATTGACAAATGTGCTTCAATGCAGGTATATCTGTTTCTATTTTCTAATGATTTTAATCTTATGTTATTCAAAACAAATTCTAAGTTGCTGGTTTGTACTGCTTCAATGTTTTAATTTTTTTCCCTGTATTCTGCGGGTTGAATTTTCATATTTCCTCTATAACTGTCTCATCATTCCTTGTCTTGCTTGAATTTTAGAACCTGCGTGAAGCAATCGCCACGTATCGCAATAGCATTTTGCGACAGCCCGATGAGATGAAAAGGGAGGCATCACTATCTTTTTTTGTTGAGTACCTAGAGAGATACTACTTTTTAATATGTTTTGCTGTGTACATTCATTCAGAAAGGGCTGCACTCCGTTCTAATACTGCTGATCACTGTAGTTTTGCTGACTGGATGAGAGCAAGACCTGAACTCTACAGCATTATTCGGAGGTTAAAGTTTTAAAAATTTATGAAGCCTATGCTTTTTGAATTTTAGGCTAAATTGCAAATTTAGTCCCCCTTTAATTCTTGATCTGCAACTTTAGTCTACCTTTTTTTTTTCCCTGTCATTTTAGTTCCTAGATTCTAAAATCATCAACTTTGGTCAAATTCTCAATTTTGCATATGTTTATTTTCTTTTATTTTTACATTTTAATTTATTAAATTGATTTTTTTGGTACCTTAAATAAATATGTTAGGTCTAGGGTTCAATTGGACCAAAATAAAAGAAATAAATGTATGCAAAGTTGAGAATTTGGGGATTTTCTAAATCTCTGCGCTAATATCATGGGAAAAAAAAAAATAAGGGGACCAAAATTACAGATAAAAAATTGTAGGGAGACCAAAATTTTAGTTTAGCCTTTTTTTTAATTTGTTTCCCTTCATTAGGTCTATGAAGTATGTTAATAAATTTGACCAAGTATAAATATATAGCTATGAAAACTTTATATTCATAAATGTTAATAACTGAGCTTGCTTCTACTTTCAAGTATAACATTCATTTTTGTTTATATGATGTGAAGTCCTGATTGCTCTTGTACCTTGGTACTGATATAAAAGAAATCCTTGGGTTTATTTAATCACTTGTCTTTAGTTTACAACAAGGCTTTTATATAGGTGCTTAGTTGGGACACAAGATTGGCATTCACTTTTGGCAGTGCTTATCTCTATTTTTGAATTATGGTGATGCTTATGTAAGTACTAAAAGCTTCTTTGTATGTATCCAAGACAGATTCTTTTAGGCAGTCAATTTAAACTTGACTCTAACTCTCTATATAAAATAGGATGGAGTTGATTTTATTATTGATTTGGACATCATACTATGGTTCCGTTCTACCTTTTTACCCTGAAAAAAATATCACTTTTGTCTCATCCTTGTTTTGTCTTTACATTAGTAGTCTGGAAAGACGCACCAAGGACTTGACTTCGATTGAGATAGCTGCTAAACTTGCAGTTTATAGTATTTTACTTAGTCAATTTGCACTTGAATATATCTTTGTTTATCTAATATTCACCCTTGATAAAACTAAGTTTTTTCATCATATAGTTGAACCATTTTTATCAATTTTCTTGTGTTGATATTCCACATTGACTACAAATGTGGCCTACGCAATAGATTTCTTTTATAATCTAATTCATTAACTTGCTTAATCTTTTTATGTCTAATAACATGACTCCTACAATTAGCATTGCAGGTTACTCAGGAGAGATCCCATGGGTGCACTTGGTTATTCAAGTTTGAAGCCATCTCTAAAGATGATAGCCGAATCCACTGATGGCCGCCCTTCCGAGATGGGTGTGGTTGCTGCCTTGAGAAATGGCGAGGTTCTTGGTAGTCAAACTGTTCTCAAAAGTGATCACTGTCCCGGATCTCAAAACCCAAGTTTACTTGAGAGTGTAGATGGTGCTCCTAATTTCCGAGAAGTTCCTGGATTTCCAGTTTATGGAGTGGCAAATCCAACCGTGGATGGTATTCGATCTGTCATTCGGAAGATAGGAAGCTCTATAGGTGGACGCCCAGTACTTTGGCATAATATGAGAGAAGAGCCTGTTATTTACATTAATGGGAAGCCATTTGTTCTTCGTGAAGTAGAAAGACCATACAAAAACATGTTGGAGTACACGGTAGGCATTGCTTTTAACATATCTTTTTTATCAATTTTTAGTTAAGGGGATTGTAAATCAGATATGTTATAAAAACTGGGTTTTGGTTTGTAGTCCACTAGATCTTATACCACCCTCCCCAAGCTGTGTTTGCATTTTTCATTGCACATGCCTTTCCCTATGCATACATCTAAAACTGAATTACTTGCTTAGCAAAAGACTCTATGAAAGTTAAATATTCAATTAATAAATCTTGAATCTTGACTCTTACTAGATGAGCCCCATTTCATAGCAATAATGTGCCCTTCGGCAAGGAGCTCGATTCTAAGATCACTCTTCCATAACAAAACACCACTTTTGAAACTAGGAAAGAAAGTAGCAAGAAAAGGTTATGTTAGGAGGAGCAAGAGCTAACACTAGGGATCAGACAGCCCTAGGAGCAGATAGATCTCAGAGTTGGGTTAGCGGTCAATCCCTTGTCATAATTAGGGATAACAAAACGGGTTAGGTCAGACGGGTCAGTCCACTAGCCCACCTAAAAAATGGCAGGACAAGAGGTTGGGTGGGCCAAAATGGGGTGGACTGATTCGTTTTGCTATCCTTAGTTGTAGTGCGAAAAAAAACTGGAGTTGGATAGGCGGAGGTTTAGGAATAACCTACCAATTGACTTTCCCTTTTTCTTTCTACAGTTGTTTGTCAATAGGATGTTATTTAACAAGTTAGTTGTAATTGATAGCAGGAACCATACTACCAAAAGAATGTAGTAATCTAATTGTTAAAAAAATGTATCTAGATGAGCAGTATGAGACCGGCAGCGAATGTGTTTAAAATGCTTTTTCTTTTGTTCTTTGCAAAACATGTGACCTATGGAGTCATAAGGCTATTATTGCTTGTAGTATTTGTGTCTTCTAAGATATCAAAGAGACATCTGTTCCACACTGAAGTATAATATTACTTGAGATAAAGTATTAAAGCCACAAAGTTCTCTATTGGGTGAACATTGTCAAGGATCAAATCTTCTAAAACCATAAACTGTTGAATATGTTTATATCTTACAAAAATTATTTGATCCATTAAAAGTCGGTTCAAATTATTTGGTCCATGCCTCTATACTTTGTCTGGTGCAGGTCATGTATTAATATATTGTGGCCAAAGTATACATAACATGCAGCTTATCTAATATGTTGAAATTGAATTCCCATTGGAGGCCTCTTTGAATTTCATTAATTTGTAAATTGGTCCCTGCTTGTTGGTAAATAGGAAATTGTAATTTGTTCTTTCAGGGCATTGACCGTGAAAGAGTGGAGAAAATGGAGGCACGATTAAAAGAAGATATCCTAAGAGAAGCTAAACACTATGGTGGTGCGGTAATGGTTATTCATGAAACAGATGATAGGCATATATTTGATGCTTGGGAGCTTGTTACCCCCGATGTAATCCAAACCCCACTTGAAGTTTTCAAAAGTCTGGAAGCTGAGGGGTTCCCTGTTAAGTATGCACGTGTGCCCATCACTGATGGAAAAGCTCCTAAAAGTTCTGATTTTGACACTTTGGCAATTAATATCGCTTCTGCTGCAAAAGACACTGCTTTTGTTTTCAATTGTCAGGTATTCTTAAGTTTTATATTATATGCTGTACTTCTTACGACCTTGTTCATTTTGGGTTGGTCTATTTGTTCATGTCTTTTTCCTCTTATCCATTTCCTACTGCATTTATTGATATAACAGATGGGTAGAGGCAGGACGACCACTGGTACTGTCATAGCTTGCCTTGTGAAACTTCGAATCGATTATGGTAGGCCCATTAAAATTCTGGGTGATGATGTGACCCGTGAAGAATCAGATTGTGGTTCTTCAAGTGGAGATGAAGCTGGGGTTTATGCCACCACATTAACCTCCAATACTTTGTTAAGAAAGACAGAGGAGAAACAAAATCGTGCTTTTGGTATAAATGACATCCTTCTGTTATGGAAGATAACAACATTATTTGATAATGGTGTTGAATGCCGAGTGGCATTAGATGCTATTATTGATAGATGTTCTGCACTTCAAAACATTCGTCAAGCAGTGTTGCAGTATAGAAAAGTATTCAATCAACAGCATGTTGAACCTAGGGTAAGGAGGGTGGCATTAAATCGTGGTGCTGAGTACTTGGAGCGATACTTTCGTCTAATTGCTTTTGCAGCATATCTTGGAAGTGAAGCATTTGACGGATTTTGTGGACAAGGAGAATCCAGAATGACATTTAAGGTTTGGTTGCATCAGAGGCCAGAGGTGCAGGCTATGAAATGGAGCATCAGATTAAGACCAGGGCGATTTTTCACTGTCCCTGTAAATATTTTTCTACCTTTCTATTTGGAGTATTATTTTCCCCAATTTGAAGCAAGATTTATTCAATAATGTCAATTAAATTGTAGGAGGAGTTGAGAGAGCCGCAAGAGTCTCAACACGGAGATGCTGTGATGGAGGCCATTGTCAAGGCCAGAAATGGTTCTGTTTTGGGGAAAGGCTCCATTCTGAAAATGTATTTCTTTCCTGGTCAGAGAACTTCCAGTCATATACAAATACATGGTGCACCTCATGTTTACAAGGTACATTTACTTATGCAAGTACTTCTAAAAATACTAACTCATACAATTTGTGATGCCAGAGGGTAAGGCTACACATTCAGTGGTGACCTAGAGGTTCATTCAATTGTAGGTAGAATTAGCACCTTTAACATGTTTTCGGTGTGAGTTTATTTGCAGAACACTAGATTGAAAATGATCAATCTTGTTATCTTGAAGTTGTTAAAGTAGAATGCATGTGTTACCATTAGTTGATAATTTACTATTTAGTTTATTTTTCTTCCACTCATTTTATGTTGTTTTTTTTTTTACATTTTTCATACACGTAATGACCATATTGCAATAAATGTAAATATATATATATATATATATATTACTTATAATAACTATTTTATTGTAATTTATAATATCAATATTTTTAATTTAAAAATCTTGTTTTTATGCAATGATGACATCATGGTTTGTCTGGGGACTGCTAACTAACAACATAGAAGAAAATGACCAGTGACCTATGTAGGTGGCGAGAACTGACACAGAATCCAAATGATGAAACATCAGGATTTGCTTACAGTAGCTTGCTTTATTATTTGTGTTGAAGGACTTTCAGAACTTTCTTTTCATCATATTCTAATTCTTATTTTTCTTATCTGCCATCATTGAAAGAGCTTTATCTTATGTTTTTATCTATGTATATATAACATGGTTGACTGTGAGAATGTCATTATCCAATACTTCATGTCTTCAGGTTGATGAATACCCTGTGTATTGCATGGCAACTCCAACCATCTCTGGTGCCAAAGAAATGCTAGACTATTTGGGTGCAAAGCCTAAACCTTCAATCATTGCTCAAAAAGTTATATTGACTGATCTGAGAGAAGAAGCAGTTGTTTATATAAATTATACTCCCTTTGTCTTGAGGGAGTTAAATAAACCAGTTAATACACTCAAGTATGTTGGAATCACTGGTCCTGTGGTGAGTCATCTTTACTATAATTTTTCTGTTGGAAGTTGGCATATTTCACAAAATTTATTGTTACCCAACTCATGGTAACTACCATGCAGGTGGAACACATGGAAGCACGGTTAAAAGAAGATATCCTAGCTGAGATTAGACAATCGGGTGGGCGGATGCTGTTACACCGTGAAGAATATAACCCCTCGACAAATCAGTCAGGTGTGGTTGGATACTGGGAAAACATTCGAGCAGATGATGTGAAGACACCTGCAGAAGTTTATTATGCTCTAAAAGACGATGGATATGATATTGTCTACCAGAGGATACCTTTAACAAGAGAGAGAGATGCTTTGGCATCTGATGTTGATGCAATACAGTATTGTCAAGATGAGTAAGTGTCCCCTACTTTTTAGTATAATGGTTCTTGTAAAGTTTTGTGACATTTTTGTTCTTGTAGCGTTTGTGTCAATTATAATTTGGGGGTTAATAATGTATACTTAGAATATTCAATACACCAAATATGTCATTAGAATCATAACCAATCATTGCTAATAATATAGGGGCCATACTTTTTCTTTGAAATGCTATCATGGGGTTCTTTGTTACAGTTTTGGCTTAGAGCACTACATTCCTCTGTTAAAGTTGACACTTTAGATCTCTGAACTTAAGTGAATAATCAAACATTTTGCTCAGTTTTGAAATTAAAAACATAAGAGATTAATACTATTAAATAAAAAACTATAGTAGTCCCATGCAAGGCACAGGTTTCATACCTACCAAATGCCTATACAAATCTGTCTGGCTAATCAGTTCGTGTTTAACTGCTCATCATTTTGATTGCTGCCCAGTGCTCTTCATTTGTTCCATGTTTCTGTATCCATACTGTCTAGATGCTGTAATCTCACTGTATTGATGTTTGAAGCTATTTTTTGTTTAAATGGAGAAATGTACTTCTAAACTCTTGCTTTATTGTAGCTCTGCAGGTAGTTACCTTTTTGTGTCACACACAGGTTTTGGTGGTGTCGCATATGCTATGGCCATAATCTGTATCAGACTTGATGCTGGATCCAAAGTCTCACAACCATTATTTGGCCCTCATATATATGCAGTGACTGAAGAGAACTTGCCTTCTCGAGCTTCCAATGAAACAGCACTTAGTATGGGTGACTATAGTGACATTTTGAACCTTACAAGGGTCCTCATACATGGTCCCCAAAGCAAAGCAGACGTGGACCTTGTCATTGAAAGGTTATTAGGAAAACTTTTGATTACTTTTAAGAAAGTGTTCAACATCAAAATAAATTATATTCTCTTTGATGTAGAAATGCATATTGTCGTGTGAGAGGGGGAGGGTTATCTTTGCAAATATATTATGTTTCACTTTTGTAGTTCTGAAATAGCACTTTTGCGTCATTTAGCCTGGGAAATTTTGATCTTTAGTTATATGAGGTTTTCATTGAAGATATTGAATTTTTCTATTTTTTCAATAGATGTGCAGGTGCAGGGCATATACGAGAGGATATTCTGTATTACAATAGAGAGTTTGAGAAGTTTACTGATGATGATGAGGAGGAGGAACGTGCGTATCTTATGGACATGGGTATCAAGGCTTTGAGGTACATTCACTTGTCTCACCTATAGCAATGTCTTTTATATATTTTATAGGAATGGTATTGATATATTTTCTCTAAAACATTTATAGAGAATGCATCATACCCTCCGCATGGATATTGGTGCTTATGAATGTAATCAGGGGATGATTTTGATTAATTCAATTCTACAACTGTAGCTAAGTATATGAAAAGTTATATGATAAAGTTTAGAAGATTAAAAACTCGTTAGTCAATCCATAATTTAATTTCTTTGAAAAGTAATTTCGATATTAGTTTAGTGAAATGAATTACTTACAAACTTTCTACTCAACAATGAATCTGAAAGAAAATTTATATTATTGCTGTAAAAAGAAGAATCTTATAAGAAGTCACTCATAGTTGTAAGATTGACTTTTATTTACATTTCTTTTCACACATGCATTGTCAATTTAAGATCTAGCCCTCGCATGCAATTGAAGGGGAAAAAAAGGATAAGTAGTACGATATTGAATTGTGAAGTAGTCATCGCATAAAAATTATTAACCATGTTCAATTGTTTTTAGTGAGAATTGATCCAAGATTATACGTTGGATATGAGATGTATCATTTTGTCGTGTAACCATTTGTTTTTCCCCACCATCTGCAGGCGATATTTTTTCCTTATCACATTCAGATCTTATCTCTACTGCACTTCTCCTGCCAATATGAAATTCGCAGCGTGGATGGATGCAAGACCAGAGCTTGGTCATCTATGTAACAATCTAAGAATTGACAAATAACATGGGAATGCTTATAATCATGTTGTAACTGTTCTGTGTGGCGTTGGCTGTTACAGTGACAGTTGTGCCACCGTATAACCTCTCCTCATGCTGCACAATATCCTTTTTTCGGTACAAAGCCTTCATACTACGTAGTACACTATGCACGCATGCTACTTTGTGAACTGCCATCTCAGGCAGAGCAGCATCCTGCACTCAATTTGTCTAGCTTTGTATGTTACGAGAGGGTGGCTTTGACACAAGGCATGAATATTGGTGAACAGAAGTGTTCATACGAGACCTGTAGGACAAGTAGGTTACACTGTTGAGGAATGTTATAGTATCTCTTCCAAAGATTGTATTTCTATTTTATGTTTTGGGAGGGTTTGTAAAGGATGAAAAGTAGTGCTTTAATAGGATGGGAAGAGATAGCATTCTAGTGTTAGGGAGGGAGGAAGGTTCCCTATTTTTCTGTTAGCCCAATATCTAATGTCCTGACGAATTTAGTTGTCACTCAAATTCAATTGTATTTTTGTATTTTATCTTCTTTATCGAAGAAGTTAATTCTCTCTTGACTTGACATAGTTAAGCAGAATTATTTGCTGTTTATCCCGTGCTCTTCCCCACCGACTCTCAATTGTCAGTGCTTGCATGTCAGTATGTTTGGTTCTCTGTCATAAAATGTATATTTGCGTCAGGTTGAATCAATAATAACCAGCTTTCATGTTCTTTACTTCTTTTAGAGTTTTTGACGGGAAATGCTTATGTATACGGAGCCAGACGCACGCTACATCATTCATTTAAATTGAACCTTTATTGGGAAAGGAAAGGAAAGGAAAATGCTTGTTGATCCTGCACATCATGCTCTCTCGTCACCTCAAAATTATGAGGAAGGTCGAGGTCGCAGACATAGAGTATATGTGTGTACAAATTCTAGCAACGCTAACTTCAATCTCATGGTGCGAATCTTGTATACGTGAGATGATCTGTGTGTCTGCGTAAATTGTCTAAATATAGCCAAGCTTGATCATCGTAGTTACCAAATTCTCTCTCATGTGTCCCACTAATTGAGTAGGAGACAATCATTTATACCACTACGATGGAGAAGACATAATTTCGTTGCAATGGTGGGAGAAAAGTGGAAGTGTTGGGTTACAAAATAAGATGAGCGTCATTTATCCTTCCAAAAAAGAGAAAGAGTTCCTCTTCTCTGAAAAAGACGAGCGTCATTGTGATTTTTATTGTTTTTGGGAAAGTTTTCTTTGAAAAGAAAAGATATTAAAAAATTATATGATGAATGTAAAAGTAATTTTTCAAAACAAAGCAGATATCAGAGAAATTGACATGTCATATACCTGTATTTTTAAATGACGTATCACGTAATGTCCTGCTAACCATGTTCGCTCTTTTGTAGAACGAATAATAAAAGCAAGTAGTTGCACATATTTCCTATGGCTCCTCAATTTTTCCATAATTCTGATCTCTGTCAAGTGGTATTGCTTCGCGAGCTCATCAGTGACGATGGGTTTTAAATTTGAATTCACGTCCTCGGTTTTTGATGGATCATTTCATGATCGAAGTTAAAATTAGAAACAGGCAGCATGGGCACTATATTTTGTTGTTTAAGTAGCCTGGTGTCATCAGTGTGTACTACGCCTTGCTGTAACCTTTTCTCAAGCCAGCTAGGGAGAAATCGGATTCCTGGTAGAGAACAAATTATTAATATTGCGGTTTAGTAGATTCGAAAAGCATCCACCTTAATTAACGGTAAGATTTATTAGACCAAAACCTCAAAAGAGGAGGGAACACAGCATGCATGATCTGACAAAAACAGCGAGCATTGGGAATAAGGATGCGGTTTTCGCTTTTCGTGTGGTATAAGCTGCTATAGAATCTTTAGAAACTTATAGCTCGGTTTGTGTTGTGTAAGAGATTTTCTGATCCAAATGAAAAAGGAAAAAAAGGGTTGGTGGGTTTTCATGTTTGTTTGAAGCTATTAACTATTAAGCCATTCCTTGCTCTACCTCGAGGAAAACCCATCTTGCTTTAATTCTTTTAAATATTTCATAAAACAACATGATACCCAACAAGACATATATGCTGCTGCTTTAATTTTCTTCCCTTTTCCTCTTCCCTTGGACATTGCTTAAACATAAGGTTCTTGTCACATCTCTATTTCCATTTATACATATTCCTTCCCGTTTATAGATTATTAGGTACTGGGGGACAATAGCTCTTCTGTGTTTTGGTACATTTCTATTTCCATTTATACACATTCATTCACTTTCATTTTTTCTATATTTTAGATATTAGGTAATCTAGGTGAATTAATTCTGCCCGGTGCTAGTAAACTTCAGCTTTAAATAATAATTTGATTGTCCAATCAACCAACCGCTTGTGGGAAGAATCAATAACACGATTGTCGTAGTGTATAGCAATTTCAGAATTTAGAAATGATGGTGGCAAGTGAGCTACATGGATTTTCCATGTCCCTGGGGTCAAAGAAACCAACCTTCCACCATGACAAGAATTTGTCTTCCTCATTCTCTGGTAGCAGAGTGAACTTGCTTCAATCAAAGAATGTAGTATCTGGTTTTCCTCCAGGAAAATTCTTTAGTGTTACACAGAGAAACACAACCAGAAGATTTTTGGCTATGTCTACTCTTGCAGATGTTGCAAATGAATTTATGGTAACTTACCTTTCATTTTGCTTACTGAACGATGTCTTAGTTTGTGTTAATTTTATGATATACTTAATCTTTCCATGGACCATTTCCGCTCCATTGAAATCCTTGGTCTTGTTTATCCTGATCTTAACTAAGAACTCGATCACTGATTATTGACTTAGTTCTTACCTGGTTTCTTAAGTACAAAAAGTATTTTCTTAGTAATGGAGAGCAGCCATAATCAAATTATACATTTTTTGGACAAACTACACTCATATCTCTTAAGATTTGGTAAACTTGAAATACCCCTTCTTTTTTTTCACATTACTTTGACCTCCCTTCATCTGTATAACTACACAAGTAATGAAGAGATATATAGGTAAAAAAAAAAAAAAAAAAAGGAACGGTAGTGAGGGAAATTTTGTTAAACCTGTGAATGTAATCTTCTTATTTGTTTCAACCAGCATACGAAAACGTGTACATTGAACACGAATTTACCTAGATAATGTTGCATTTCAGGCCCTTCAATCACCAATACTTACAGGAAGAGAAGCCAACCCAAAGACTGTTGCATCGATCATATTAGGTGGTGGAGCTGGAACTCGTCTATTCCCCCTAACTCAAAGAAGGGCTAAACCTGCTGTAAGTTAATAATTTCACTAATCTGTGTGGATATTTTTATGTTATTCCAGGTCTAGGCTTGTTCTTCATTTCATGTGATGCTCAGGTACCATTTGGAGGATGCTATAGGCTGGTCGACATACCGATGAGTAATTGTATTAATAGTGGAATTAACAAAATTTACGTCCTCACACAATTTAATTCTCAGTCCCTCAACCGCCACATTGCTCGAACATATAATTTGGGAGGTTGCATCAACTTTGGTGGTTTTGTTGAGGTACTCAGTCTTGTATTAATTTATTATTGTTATTATTATGTTTTCCCTTCCTTTTTCAGTTATGTCTCAGGCTAGATACTTATGGACATGGTACACAAAAACTAGAAAGAGTTTAATTTTTATGCACTCTTACATTGACAATATATCTGAAACTATGGTAGTTATGACTTGTAAGGTAGGTCGTGTAAAAGCCAATGAGTTTACCATACATGACATATTGTGACAGAATGACAGTGTGAAATCTCATTACACTGTCATAGCGTAGACCATTTTCTTTACTGAGATAAGAGTATGTTATGATAGGTATTGGCAGCAACTCAAACACCTGGTGAATCAGGAAAGAAATGGTTTCAGGGTACAGCCGATGCTGTAAGACAATTCCTTTGGTTGTTTGAGGTATTGTATAATTCTTTTTCCTGTACACAAAATTGTACATTTGGCATAACAGTGCACTTGTCCACAAACATAGGATTACCACAAGTGCAAGTGTTTAAGGATTTATGTCATTCTTACATTTATAAAACCGATTGTGTTTGTGGGACTTGAATAGGATGCCGATCATAAAAATATAGAGAACATTCTGATATTGTGTGGTGATCAGCTCTATCGAATGGACTACATGGAAATTGTGCAGGTTGGTATTAGCTGTTAATTTGATGTTTTTTGCTAATTCACTTACTGTGGATATTTCACATGACAACTGATCTCATATTTTCAGAAGCACATTAATTCATGTGCTGATATATCAGTATCTTGTCTCCCAGTGGATGGCAGGTATTCTATGTAAAGTGTAATCTATTCTATTGTACATAATTAGTTTCTGAAATATTTATATTTTCTTCATTTTTACTGGTAGTCGGGCCTCTGATTTTGGATTAGTGAAGGTTGATGAAAGAGGGCAGATATGCCAGTTCTTAGAAAAACCCAAGGGCGAATTATTAAGATCTATGGTTGTTACTTTTCCAATCTCCTCTTAAAGAGACCGAGTCATAATCTACTGTAGTTGTCAATATCACCTGTCTCTGATGGAAGTATTTGTTTTAATAGCATGTAGATACGAGTATTTTTGGACTGTCGGCTCAAGAAGCAAGGAAACTTCCATACATTGCATCAATGGGTATATATGTGTTTAAAATAGATGTTCTGCTAAAAGTTCTCAGGTAAGAAAATTCCCTGTTGGATCTTACTATTCCTCATTTTTAGAGGAACTGTCAGTTTTGTACTGGGAGCCTGGGAAGTGATTCTTTGAAGGTAGTGAAGTAACTATCTTTCTTCCTTGTGTTTCTTCTTTTGTGACAAATTCCCAGGGGCTGTTATCCTAATGCAAACGATTTTGGATCCGAGGTCATTCCATTGGCTGCAAGAGATTTTAATGTCCAGGTAGTTTCTCAATGTAAAAACTACTAAAGTCATAAAAATTGTTTTGGCTGAAGAAATTTGTCAAATATTCTATCAATCTAGTTTTTGATGAATGCCTAATAATCAAGGTTGGCCCTTGTATTTTTTCACAGGCATGTCTTTTCAATGGTTATTGGGAAGATATTGGGACTATAAAATCTTTCTTTGATGCGAACTTGGCTCTTATGGACCAGGTAGGTTTTTATAGCATTTAAGTTAAGGTCTCCATCCGAAAACCAAATCCACTGAGTTTATACTAGCTGCAATTTATTGTTCTTCCATGTTGAAGCGGCCCAAGTTTCAGTTGTATGACCAGTCCAAGCCTATTTTTACATGTCCTCGGTTCCTACCACCAACTAAAATGGAGAAGTGTGAGGTAAAACTGTTAAATTTAGTCCATATACTTGAATTCTGTGATTCTGACAGAACCTAATGAGATTGTGCAATAACGTCAATTGTAGGTAATTAACTCTTTAATTTCAGATGGTTGCTTTTTAAAAGAGTGCACAGTTGAACATTCCATCGTGGGAATTCGATCACGACTTGATTCTGGAGTGCAGATAAAGGTAGCCTTCCTTTTTTTTTGGAATGGTTATCACTGTAACACATTCTTTATCAGGAACAAAGTTTTATCTTGTCCTAAGTTCTCGTCATATTTTACTTCCTTTATTTTTTATCCAAAGTATGGGAATGAATCAGTATTTCCTGTTCAGTTTCTCTTAACCTGACATGAAACCATCCGAATCATATTTACAAACACTTTACAGGATACCATGATCATGGGTGCTGACTATTACCAAACAGAGGCTGAAATAGCTTCTCTTTTAGCAGCGGGAAATGTTCCGATAGGCATTGGGAAAAATACCAAAATTGTGTAAGAATCCTGAAAATGCTTTGTAGTATTTTCACATTATACAGCATAATGCATGAACACATTTACACGGTGTTGAACTGTACATTGACATGCCTTAAATGCATGCGTGTGCACAAACAGAATGATGCAAATTTGAAACAATAAACAACCAATTTACTTTCTTCCTTTACGTTGAAATTGATTTGGAGAAGTCCAAGTTCTGGAGCAAGTTTAACTTGATCTCAACAGAATTGTTACCTCAATTATTGTTCTAAAGTAGGAATATAGTAAGAAGGATTATATCATATATCAATATGGAGTTTTTCAACTGTTTCCATCTCTCTTGTTATGTCCTTCTTACACTGTACCAGTCTATTTTTGTAACTTTTGTACTAATCTTATATGCAGGAATTGTATAATTGACAAAAACGCAAGAATTGGAAACAATGTAATTATTGCAAACAAAGACGTAAGTAATAACTTAGTAGTCCAATTTCTCTCTATTCTTGGAAGTTGTTTCTTCTTATTCTTGATGTTTTATTGGCGCAAATGGTTTCTTCAATTGAAGAATGAGATGTTTGTTGTTCTTCCATATAGAATCGTTTAGCCCAGTTTAGCCAATTGTATGTTTAACTTCACATGTATATTTAGTACGATGATAGAATCCTTTTCAGAATACTTCCACAATCGTTTAACCATATACAATACCATTCTTTATTTTTGAAAGATGAAATAATATATTATCAATAAATAATAAATAAATATAAAAAGATAAAATATAAAAGAGTTAAAAATTAAATTTATAAATATATATATATATATATATTTAATTATTATTAAATTTTGGGAGCTAAAATCATAAATATTAATATAAATTATAAAATTTTAAGAATAATCATTAAATATAAAAAGTCAAAATTATAAATACTAATATAAGTTACAAAATTTTGGAATCATTAAATTTAAGGAGTCAAAATTATCCATGCTAATATAAGATATAAAACTTGAAATCATATCTTCTTGTCTTACAGACAAGAAGTTTTAAAGAAGTTTTAAACCCTTCTTTTCGAAGTTCCTATAATATTACAGATTAGCAAATTATTAAGAATAATTTTAAAAAAATATTTAAAAATGTTCTCTACATGAAAAAGGAATGATTAAAAATATATTTTTGTAGAATATATATATATTTTAAAGAATGCTTAAATTATTTTGTCCTTTTTCTCTATTATAAAAAATTACATTTCTTGATATATTTATATATGTTACGTTATAATTTATATTTCAGAAAAGTAATGGTGATCATATATATTAATATGAGACCTTGAAGATACATGTATATCATATAAATAATTAGACTAGACTTTATAAAATCTAATATATTTATTTTTACCTTGTTTTATGTCTTGAGTAATGATAGTTCAATTGTCATTTTTATATTTTATTTTATTAAAAGTTTTTCATCATTGGCCTATTATAACTAGCCGATAAACTTTTCTAATTTATAGTTCCAAAGCTTTCCTAAGAAATAGACCTAAAAGTAGGCTATTAGAACATGTGAATCTTTAAAAAGGTTTGGTTACACATTAAAAAACATATTTTAGTAACTAAGACTTTGATGGGGTGAATTTCTTTATAAATAGAGGAAGATAATAAAAAACATTTATTTTTTTGCAAATATATAAAAAAAAGTATATGCTTAACTTTTATAATTTTTATTTTTGAAATTAAAATATATAAGTTAATTTTAATTGACAGAAAAAAATTAATATATTTTATCTCATTATTTTTTTATGTATATTTATTAAAAAAAATTAAAACGTGCTAGCATTTAAACAGATCATAACTATTTAAACAAACTCATATTCTAACATAACATGTCTTCTTTACATTACAGATTGAGTATTAAAAATGAAGTATTTAACCACATCCATTGAGAAGAGTTTAGCATAGTTTGGAATAATTTGGCTAAAGTTTATATTATTTTGATTAGAATATTGAGTGACAATTGCAGTTGTGATGCAGAATGTGCAGGAGGCAGACAGAGCATCAGAGGGGTTCTACATTCGATCAGGAATCATTGTGGTCTTGAAAGACTCTGAAATTACGAATGGTACAATTATTTAATCACCACTTACACACACTTCAATTTTCACTCAGAATAAATTTTTAAGGTCCTGCAAACAAGGGCAAGCTCAAGCATCAAGTTTTGAATCTTCAATTATGGGAATCAAAGAATCTTCACATTCATTTCATTTGACTCAACATTTTTGTTGGCTCATTCAACAGAACAGGCAACAAAATCGTGCGGCCATCAAATTCTTTTAGTACCTTTATTTATATGGCTGATATAAGCCGAAATGGTTAAAACTTAGTTGAGATTATTTGCAAGATTTAATATTACTTTAGAATAAAACAAATATATCCATCACTCCCATAAATAAAAGCATGTCTCATTGAGGCTTACTCAGCAACTTTATCCAATTTGTAAGACTTTGATAGACATAATAATTGTACCCAACAAAATGAAACTATGATAGCAGGGTGATGCAATTATGCTGCGTTTGCCGATAGATTAAGGATGTTTTTACGTGCTTTATTTTTTTGGATTAGGAAGTTGATTTTGCAAAAATAATGAAAGGAGTAGCTTGTAACAGTCACATTCTTGTATATGATAATTTCTCCTTGCTAAAATAATTAAAATATCTTTTCAATAATTTTTTTTCAAATTTTAACCATTTTTTTATTTTTCTGCAAAAATTCTATACTCCTTAAATTTTTAAATTTGATTTTTTTATTTTATTTCTATTTAAGATCATTTTCAACACTTAAAAATAAATAATTAGAAATATTACGTATCTATTATTTTTATACTGAAATTATACATTGAGACCCATGTTGCTTAATCTAAAACATTTTTTTAAAAATTAGATTGAGTTTCAAAACACGGAATGAATTTTTAGATAGATTATTTTTAAAATATATTTAAGAATTTTGAAATACGTTTTCAAAAAAGTCAATTCAAAAATACATTATAGATTTAATGTTCTAAAATATATTTTTGTAAACTTTAATTTAGAGATATGTCCTAAAAAAATGTTCTAGAAAAATGTTTCAAAATATATGTTCAGAATTAATTTTTCAAAAATACATTGGTGGTGCGTCTAATGTAAAATCTGAAAATGTATTTATGATACAATAATCTGAAAAGAGAAATAAATTTTAGAAATATATTCTAGTAGCTGTTTTCCAGGATATGTTCCCAAATTTTTTCTGTAGTACTGTATTTATAGTACGAGAAACACGTTTCCAACCAAAAAGCTTGTTGCATGAATTTTATACATGATAAAAAAAACTAATACAAAGTAAAAATAGTTTAAGATTCTTATTTATTTATTGTAATTCTTGGAGTAATAGGAGAAGAAAAAAAGAATGAAGATATTTTAATAGGATTTAAAAATCATACATTTAAAGATTTAAAAATTAGAAATAAGTAATTACAAAGATGAAGATAAGGAAAGGGTAAAATAAGATTTAATTTAATTATGGAAAGTGCCGTTGTACAATAGGATCTTGGGCTTTCTGTTTTTGGTAAAAACATGCTTTTGGGCTTTGGTTTGACAGAGGTAAATCACAAATCAGAGAAAATTAAGTTTAATAAGTATTTATTATTTATCTAAAAATTAGATACTCTAAACTAATAAAAGAATTATTTGTAGCAATTTATGATTAACTATATAACTTTTTTCGCACTGTGGAAATATATATTGTTTATTAAACATTACTTGAAAAGTGATAAGTTTCACTGAAACTTGAGATGTAATTTTAAAATAAAAGTTTGTGGTTGGTCTATCTTAACATTATTCTTTGGTCTTTCAGAAACAGTTGAATTTATTGTATAAATATTAAAATAATTAATTTATATATTTCACATATCTTTAAAGAATATAATAAATATATAATCAACTTTGCGAATATTAGTTTTAACATTAATATAGATTTTTTTTAAAATATATTTAGTTTCCGACTTTTGTTATATAGATTTTGGTTTTTTTAATATTATATTACCTAAAAAATAAAAGTTTTTAAACATAAAAAATTTATTTTATTTATTTAATTGGTATTTTAACTCCTACACTGTATGAATGAATTTCATATTTTATTAACCCTTATAAAAATAATCAAATTTAAAAAAGCAATATACTTTAAAAAGTAAATAATAGAATTCATAGGATGAGAAGAAGACTTTTAATTTATTAATTATATGTTTTTTATAGTTACAAATAAAATAAAAGATCGTAATATTAGTATTAGATGAGAAAAAAAATTAAAAACATTTTTATCACTTTAATATATTATAAATAATATAAAAATATACTAGTAGCATTAATTTGGATAAATTAAAGAAAATATTAGTTTTTTTATAATTAAAAATTGAATAACATAAAAATTTGTATAAAAAAAAAAAGAGAGAATGAAAACAAAAAAAAACACACGCTACAAAAGAGAGAATGGGGATGATGAGAATATGTGAACTAGTTGAGACAGTGAAAAAAGTGAGTTCTAATTTTTAGAACATATCCAATACTAAAGTTGTGTAATTTTTTTTTATGAACCTATGATACCATATGAGAATTAAGAATTTCATAAAAAAAAAAATTCTTAGTGCAATATTTAAGAATTTCAATAAACTCTTATCTCATTATTTTTAAGAAGTATTATTCTATTAAGAACCATAAATTTATATAAACAACAATTCTTAATTAGAACTTCAGCAGATTCATGTTTTAAAAAAATATTATAATCTTACCTAGTTTTATCAAATGTCTTAATTTGATCGTAATAATTAATTTTTTATTTTTTTTACATTGGGTAAAAAAAATTAATGAAATATATAGTGAATTTATTGAAAATAAAATAAAATATGAATTATTAAATATTAAAAATATTATTAACTTGCATTGATATAAAACAAACTTGATATAAAATAGATAAAACTAGATAAAAAGAATTTGGAAAATATAATAATATGTTTTTATCTTAATTTTTGAATCAAACTAAATCAATCTTAATCATTTCAATAATTTGATTTGGATTGCCAAGAAAATTTTCAAAATCTAATAAACTAAATTAAATCAATTGAATTTTCTCCTTCAAAATTAATTTTATTCTAAACTCAAATACTTTTGCAATATATAGGATAGAATAAATATGTTTAACTCTTCCCCTTCAAGCATAACCCACAACATGATGATAATTTGGATAATGTAATTTTTGAAAAATTATTTGAATAAATACAGTTACAAAATATTTTTTATAAATTAGAAGTAGATTATATATAAATTTTAAAAATAGTTTTTTTAATTAATAAAAAAATTATAAATTAGATCATAATTTTTATTTAAAAAATAATATAATTTTTTAAAATATTTTATAAAAAAGTTTACCTAAATATCTATTATTTACATTAACTAACACTAGTTGTAAGAGAGTAGTACCTAGTACCTATATACCATGTTGTCACCAAATAATATTGCCTTGTTCCTGCAACAAACAAAAGAAACTTCATTTTCACCATTCCCACCTTTCTCAAGAATCTTCCTTGCAACCACTCTACTCTACCATTTGCAGGGTAAGTACAGTTCTATGCATCAAGCTTCATAACCTCTCTTTCAACCATGCTATCAACTTCTTACCATTTCTTAATTAATACGCCACATCCATTTTTCCCATAATAAACCTCTTATTATCCTTTGTATTTTTCCTCTCTCAGCCACAAAATTATGATACTTTTCAATCTTGCAATTCAAAATCAACCATCTCTTTTAATTTAACCAGCCTGCATTTATCAGTATCAATACTTATGAAGCCCAATACTAATTCAAAACAACTTGAATTTTCACTCTCCTTTGCTTCAGAATAACTGAAAAGCTTTTAAAGGATCAACTTGTAGTTGTAGGCATTTCTACACCTTGAATTTTGAAGACTGCCATTAACCTAAAACAGAAACTGAACCATACTGTACACATGCTCTGATCCACTTTCTTCAGTTACCACAAAAACCCATTTTTCATCAGTATCAGAAAATTTCGGTTTACTGAAAATCTACCATTGAAGTCAGTAACACAAAGGATACATTTGCCTGTCCCTTTCACCATATTCTCTTTCACATAAAAACGATGTTAAAAATTCAACGCCATTGTCCTTTATAATAAATACTCCAACATCTTTTATAGAATGAAAGTTTAATCCACCATCACAGCCCTTAACAGCATCATCATCTTCCTCCAGAAAACTTTTCAGTAAAAAACATCAGACACCTTCCTTAACTTCTTCCGGATTCACGCTCCATCTCCCATTTATTTCCAGCCCATAATTATTACCCTTTGCATATTTGTGATATATAATAATAATGCAGAGTTCTCCATCATCACCGACTTATTGCAACCACTTTATTTTGTTTTTTTCCTAATCATGGATTGAATTAATTAGACATCAAAGCTATGTTTAGCTACCTCATTTATTAATTAAAAGGGTCCTTTCGAGTTTTCAATTTTGATAGAATTGATTTTGGTAGAATTTATTATAACAAAACTAAAAGAAAAGCACTTACGTTGTTATGCAACATTTATTTTCGTATACTACAGTGTAACGTGATATTCAATAGTTATGAATGCTAAACAAACAGCGACTAAGAAATGAACATTTATTTTCGTATATAACAAGGAACCAATAGTTTCAAACTGTTCAAATTAGAAATTGTCGTTCTGATATATCATTGGAGCCATATATATAATTCTTTCACTCGCTTAATTGGTTGACAAGACGCGGTATTTTCCTAGGAATATTGCTTGTAATAATGGGAATATATAATTAGCAACATATAGTAGTAGGGGAATTTAAAGGTTTTGTGCTAATTAAGCAATACTTGACATTTTGTGGGATTGCTGATCTACAATTCTGGTAGTTGAAGGACTGTCCTGGAAGATAACTTCATAACCATCACGTAAACCATCCATTCCTTGAGCCATGAGCTGCCAAAAAAGCCCTCCAGCACAGGGTCCCCCACTACTAGCACTACTGTATATCGCATCATACATTTTGCTCATGTAACTGTCCCTTTCAGCCACACTATATGACCTACAAGACTTCCCAAACTCACCAACAACAATAGGCTTCCCCAGAACATTCTTCGCATCCTCAATGTGTGTCTGTAACCACTTGTCAACAAATGCAGCCTGAGCAGTTTCAGTTGAACCTGGCATCCTGCATGTACCATTTATTACTTTTCTTCTTAATATTAACATATAAGTGAAAACATATCTGCATAATTATTATATATCTTACGTACCATTGTTCAGGGTAGAGATGCATGGTAGCAAAATCGACTTGGTGAACTAGGTTGTTAGAAATGAAATCAGTGCCAATAAGTTGGTATCCAGGATTGAATTGTTTTTTTCCGGGCATTGTTTCACCATAGAACCCTTCCAGTCCTATTTCAAGCATATGTTTGTTATCGATGGATTTGACGTATGCAGCCATCTCAATCACCCATTCCTGCAAAAAACAAAAGATACATATATTAATATTCTCATTTGTATATATAATAATTATCTATGTCTATCTATATATGGATTATTAACGACCAAGTTTAATTATTTTTATGTGTTCCTCACAATTAATCCATCAGTGTCCACATCGCAGCGATAACAATGTATTTGGCTCTTCCAAAATTTGTGGCCTATTTCATTTGGGAATCTTGAATTGAGGGAAAGGAATAATTATATATATAAATGCAATGCTGTCAAAATCTCAAGAGAGAAAGCCAAAAGCAATCACATATGTGTGTTGCGTGTGTGGCCAGTTGTTATGCATACTATAATGTTTGGTAATATCTAAACTACTAGTAGAATCAGAGCAACTGAGAAAGGACCTGAATAACTTTTCCGGAGTTGTCGCGTTGGGAACGAGGTTCATTCATAAGTTCCCATGCAAATATGGCAGGATCGTCCTTAAACGCCACCCCAGTTATTGTGTTTTTTCTTGTCAGCACAGCCTGCATATTTGTAAACCAAAAAAAAAAAAAAAAAAAAGACTTCCAATGTTGTAATTTTTTGAAATTTGATTTACGAAAAATTTGTAAAGTTGGGTGATAAATAGTTTTAGATATACATAAAAAAGTGTAAACTGATTAATCTCTGAGATTGATTCATTTTTTTATTAAAAAACATTAAAACGTGTCATTTGGTAATTAGTTTGACAGTGAAGTCATGTCATTATATTTATAGAAAACCTATTCACGCTTGCAACGGCAGAAACTACACGCAAACAATTAGGTGCCCCACTACTACTATAGTTGTTGTGCTTATGTTGGTGCATGCATTATTGGCTCACTCACCTTAATATGGTTTTTGTAGTGTTGCTTGGCAACAGGATGCGTAAAGAAATCATCTTCACTGTTCACGTACTGACCATGCTGCTTCACCCATTCCACGTACTGATTTTTCCCACCAAAATCTTTCCAGTTGTTCACCAAGCTCAGTATCAAGCGAACCCCATTTTTTCCAGCTTCTGATATCACAAAGTCCAATCCCTACGCAACACGCATGCACTACTTCGTCACCAATCAAAATCTAACCACTTACCATCTAAAGCACAATGTACTAGCAACTAGATGCTTGAGATATATAATTAAGTTCTTGCCATGTTATCATGCCATAATTTTGGGGCGAAAATAGCCTTTGAGATTACATATAATTAAGGTTTTTGCCATAGTATTCTGATTAATTGTATTAAAAAATATATTATTGGAAGATGGATTCAATGAGATATACACTGACCCGGAATACTTTCTCGTCATAGGAACCAGGAGAAACCTGAAGGGCTCTGTAACCTCCATCACTGAAGGCCCAAGTTCTAGCAACAGTTAAGCCATGGCTGGAAGCTTGTTGCAAAACGGAAGTGACCTTGGGCCTTGTGGATGGGTCAGATGCCATATACATTAACCAGTAAGCGTTGAATCCGTTGAAGTAGAAACGCTTGTTGTTCAGAACAAAGTTAGTGCCACTTCGTTGAACGAAGCCACCATTCTGAACTAATTTTTGGGCTGGGTCATGAACATGATCACCACCTTCCTCGCACTCCACATGTTGAACAACCATGGCCACCATAAAAGCACCCATGAACACCATGCTTCTGAGACACCCATTCCAACAACCCATTATCGCTTCCTCTGAGAATAAAGTGAGAACAAATCACAACCAAATACCATCTTCTATATATACTATTTTACATAAGTAATTATGCATAGTAATTGACCATATTTATGGTAATGGTTTTTTAATCAAATAATTAAAAAAGCAATATTATTTATGCAATAAAATTTTACACATTTTTCAACTATCTTTCTCTGTCACACCACGTACCGATGATTAGAGGTGACAAACCCAACATTTGAACAAATATAAAACTTTAATTTCAAAATTTTTAAGTCTAAATTTAACTTTGATAGTAAAACCTAAAAATCGCTTTTGGTTTTTTTGTTTGACCTAATATAGCTTTCAACTTATAACAGACTCGATAATTATATTCTATAATAAACTTCTCTTTCATCTTTTCCTTTCTCTCATGCAGAATTTGTTATAAAGACGTGATGTACTATATATACCATTAAATTAATAAGAACAGTGGCACTAAAATTCATCATTGATTGTGGTTCCACATATAATAAAATTAAGGGTGTAATAAATCATCAATTCCGTTTCTGAAGTATTAATTTTTTTTCCCTAATACTCATTAAAATGAAATAATTTTTTTTTTTTTTGAAAACCATACTAAATAGTTCCCAAAGCACTGCAAGATCTGTCAAAATAGTTATTGAATATTATAGCAAAATATATTGACATAAAAGCTAAATTAATGAACATCAATACTTCAGAAACTACTTACATAGTTGAGTTACTTTAAAAGATATTTGGGAAAGAAAGTGATGATTAGTAACAAAATTAATGCTTTGTTCATTAAAAGTAACTAATAACTAACGAGAGTGTGGTACCAAACAGAAACATAGTAAACCAGAAAATACAAATGAGACTGAGAGAGAGACTAACTGGGACGGCAGAGCAAAAGGTTTATTGAAAAGGGGAAGAGAAATAATGGTCTGTGGAAAATGGCATATTCTTGGGGCTTTATATACTTACAAAGAGACACCCATGCAAAATCACAACAGATAAAGGATTACACTATTCGGGATATGCATTGAAACAGTTTTAAATATAATTAGGTATATGTCACTATTTCAAAGCTTCAAGTGTGATGAGTTTGCAATTTTAAATTTATAATTTTTTCTATGCAAACCCTCTTATTTGGTTCATGCTTCAAAGAGTGTATTATTGATATCTTATTATTTTCTGTTTGAGTTAATTTTATCCCTGTAATTTATTTCAATTTTTGTTGTTTGGTCCTTTTCTTTTTACTCTGTGATCCTTATTCTTTTACATTTTTTTATATTTTTATTATGAAAAAAAGCGTTTTTAGGCTTTAAATTTTCAATCAAATGAGCTCAAAGTTTCATATTTTTATTCTGAAAAGTGTAAAAATCCTCAATTATTATTTAAAAAAAAAAACATGTAGATTTAATCCTCGTACATCTAAACATTCATACTTTTTTTTAAATTTAGAAGAATAAAATCTGTATGTCTTTTAAAGTTTTTAAACTAAATTTATCAATATGAAAATATAAGAATTAATTTAGAAATTCAAAACACTTTTGTTTTGGTTTATGCGGCTATATAGTGCATTTATGTGTAGGTTGTAATTCATGTAAGACTAATTCAAATACATATCTATTTATTCATTTTTTTGTATCAGATAAATTTTGCATGCAATAATGATTTCACCCATTGTGTATTGTGCTTATCCAGAATAATCACACATCGTTTAATACTTATCCTTATATATCCATTACAAAAGAATGCCTTTAATTTCTCTGTCTTTGTCAAATAGTTTGATATTATTTTGTGTATTTGTAAAACTTAACACTTGCGTTGCGTTGCGTTGCGTTGCGTAGCGTAGCGTAGCGTCTGAGAATGGAAACAAGTGTTTCGATGGATAAGAGGTGAAGTTTGCCCCACCACCTTCATTGAAATGTGCCATTTTTGTAACAATGTGTTTTGGGAAAATGAAAAGAAAAGAAAATAATAGAAGACGAGATGCAGTTGTAAACAGCTGGTTACTTTGGTCCCACCAGCTAGGGTTGTGAATGGACCAAACTAATTCAAACACATATCTTCAATAGAAGAAGGACACCAAACAATGGAGATAACCCCACGAATGAAGGTCATTCATCATCATTAGTTATCTCCTCAAATCTTGATTCATTCATAAGTGAAAGTTTGTGTGTGTAAAATGTAACATTGATTGGAACAGATCAAATTTTATGAGTTCAAAAGTAAAATTGTTTCGGTACATTGTTTAGAAGGATAGGTAAAAAATAATTTATATATATATATATATATATATATATATATATTTTAATTTACTGAGATATCTTTTAAAAATAAAAGTAGGAATAAAATATTAATAATTTGCTAAAAATTAAGTGTGCATGCAAATTTAGGATATTTCTCATACTTTGTTTATCATGTATACTGATCAACACGTCTTTTTTCCGTAAACATCGATTGGTCTATTTAATAACATCGACCAATTAGTCCATTATTATCCTTTTCAACAAAAAATAAAATAAAATAAAAAAGCACACACAAAAGCCATTATAATCCTTAAGAGATAATGTCGAGAAGGACTTTCCAAAAGCAATTCCAATAATCATCTATCACCAAACTGAAAACGGTCCCAGCATATTCAAAAACTTGTTAATTATCCATGCTTAGCCTAAATTTTTATATGGAATATATATTTATGATATGTCTCTCACAAAAAACTTCAAAAAAAAAAAGTCTAACACTAAATTATTGTAATATTACAATATGCTCATAGTTAACAAAAACGTTAAAAAATACTTGCACTTTACCTTGTAAAGCGTATCCTTTGGTGTGGGACTTTTTAGTTCGGCCGTTGCACTTCTCAGCGCGTAACGGTCTACTTACATAGGTTTTTCTTCATCTACCTCTATAATTTTTAGTTTTACGTCCCCAATTAAATTAAATTTTATTTTACTTTTACACTTATTTTCCTCTTTATCTTGACCTTTTAAAAATATATTCCAAAATATATTTTTAAATTGATTTTTTTGAAATTTAATATTTATTTCACATTATTTTATATTGAATAATTTATGTTTATTTGTGAAATTTGAGTACAAGAACTTATAATCCATATATAATATCAACTATTATTTACCTTTAATTGTTAAAAAAGGTCTTCAATAAAGATGATAATACAAAAAAAATATCAAATAATCAAGGAATAAATGTGTTGAAGGGGAGATCCATAAATTGTATACAAATAAAAGAGGAGGTTAGGGTAAAAAACAAAATTATAAAAAAATATTTTTTAAATATTTGACTTTAAGTAATGAAGTGCATGAAAAAATTATGAAAGTACAGAAAGAAATTATGAGATATATGAAACAAGAGCCCTTACATTAACATAATATTATTTATTAATTAAGAAATGAGTAAGATTGTAAATTCCTATTTTTTTAAATTGTGTAAATTAAATTCCAACAATTAAAATTAATAAATTGAAATTCATATATATATATATATATATATATATATATATAAACTAAATCTAGTAATTAAAATAATGAATCCACAAAAACAGGAAAATGTACTAATAAAAGGGTAAAAATCATACAATCCGAGAAAAAAATGAACATAAAATCAGGATTGAAAGCATTTTAATTAAAATCATTTTTAAATTTTTTTATGCTTATTTAACATTTTTCATTAGGAAACTGATATGCATTGAAAACGATTTAACACACACATGATACTTATTTTGATCTTTTCTTCTCATTCAAACAAATATTCCATAATTTCTGTATGCCACAAAATGCCATCAGCCATGTGGCATGTGATGGGTGCAATAATAACATCAGGCATGACCATATTTATAACTCACTTATTATATAATTATATATTGCAGGTTACTACGACTATGAAGTAATAAATAATAAATATATTCATAATTTCTTTCATTCTCTTGGGTGTACGAATTGACTTTTCACATTCTATATTTATAAGTACGGAGCTCAAGTACCTTGAACGTCGTTTGATAACCTATCACTCAAATGCCCTATAATTTCTACTATTTATCTTTATAATATCAATGCATGTTCATCTTCACGTACTATACGCATATCCTAAATCATACTCTAACATGGATTTCCTTAACTAGACCAAGAAATGGATCGGATAAGCGTTTTGAAAATTAATTTTCAAACTCCACTCTCTTTTCCTCAATTCTACTTCTGCTCGTACCTTTTACGATGATGAGTTTGATCCAATGTTCTTTTCCTGCATGATCCATCATTTAGAAAATAGTTGGTTTTCTTGACTTTTTCTATAAAATAACTCTAATGAGATTTTCCTTAAATAACACATAAACATAGAGTGTCCAATTATGTCAACTAGTTAGATTTTATAACGTGATTAAAAATAGAACCTGAAACAGTTAGAGTTTCAACTTGATGGTAGTTGGTATTAAGGTACTATATTATCGTTGTTTATAAAATAAATAAATTCTTCACTTAATTCTAAGTTATTTTAAAAAAAGTTAATTCGCAATACATTTAAACTTACTTGAATTCATGTCATTATGGTGTGTATTCTTCTTGGATTCGGGTGAGTTGGGTCTCCCTCACTTTTTTTTTTTTTTTTTAATTAATACATTTAATAGACAATATTTAATTTAAGATAAGAGGAGAACAATTTGTTGGTCAACATTTGTTTTCCCACAATTTGAATTCCAGCTAGTTTTTTGTATGGGCTAAATGCCCTAACTGCAGCTATAAATGATCATAGGAATCTGCCATATTGAGCATCAAATTAAACAATCCTTCCTTGTCACACACAGAGAGGGAGAAGATGGAAAAGTTCGTTATGAGTGGTCTCATATTGTTTGTGGTGCTATTCACTACAGGACTTGGAGTAGCATCAGCTGCTTGGTTGCGAGCTCATGCAACTTTCTATGGTGGGAGTGACGCATCAGGCACAATGGGTAATTAACCACAATGCATCTTCTTCTCTCATTTTCTCCCTTCATCATCTCTATAGTTAAATTGAAATGTTAACTCCAGCAATTAATTTACGTACAAATTAACAGCAATGAATAAATAATCGCGAGTTACTTATTGTTTTCATTAGCAGAAGGTGCATGTGGGTATGGAAATCTATACACGGATGGTTATGGTACAAAAACAGCTGCTTTGAGCACTGTTTTGTTTAATGACGGAAAATCATGTGGTGGTTGCTACACTATAGTATGTGACGCAAACCAAGTGCCCCAATGGTGCCTTAGGGGCACTTCCATCACTATCACTGCCACAAATTTCTGCCCCCCAAACTATGCTCTCCCTAATGACAATGGCGGTTGGTGTAATCCTCCTAGACCACACTTTGACATGTCTCAACCTGCATTTGAGACAATAGCCAAGTACAAAGCTGGAATTGTACCAATTTTGTACAGGAAGTATGGTCATGTTATGTGATATGTCTTAAACTTTTTGGTGCCACCCTTCTGAAAAGTTTTTGAATGATATCATATGATAAGCTAAATTGGGCTAATAGTGTTTATATTATGCAGAGTTGGGTGCAAAAAAAGTGGTGGCATCAGATTTACCATCAATGGGAGAGACTATTTCGAATTGGTGCTTATAAGCAACGTTGGTGGAGGTGGAGAGATTTGTGGTGTTTGGATCAAAGGGTCGAAAATGAACAAGTGGGAAAGCATGACAAGAAATTGGGGTGCTAACTGGCAAAGCCTGAGATATCTGAATGGTCAGAGTTTGTCTTTCAAAGTTCAAATCTGCAATGGGAAGACTCGCACGGCAAACAAAGTAGCACCGTCCAATTGGAGATTTGGCCAGTCTTTCAACACCAATGTTCAGTTCTGAAAACGGAACAGTTAATGCATCTATCAATATTAGTGTTTGACTCTTCTTCTATTCCCTACGCCCTTCAATAATTATTTCTATAAATGTTCCAAGTTGATTTCATACACTACAGTCTTAATTACAGAACCATGAAACATATTGAATTAACCTTAGCAGCTTGCATCTTACTTATGACGTCCTACTGTCTCTCATTTAGCATTTTCTGATATCTTTTTATTTAATGTCGTACCAAAATATAAAGCAATAGAAAAATACTTCTAACCTCGTACCAAAATAAAATAAAAAAGCAAGGAGAGTCCCTTTACAGTGATCAATAATAAAGTATGAATAGAAAACATAATTCAATAGTAAGCACGATAAGTTTTTTAGTTAACAATAACTATTTAGTATATAATTTATCTTTTGAAATATTAGCATGGAATTAAGATTTGTTAAAGATTATTTTAAATAAAAATGCCACTTTCAATATGAAATAGAAGAAAATGAACTTTATTCTTAGTGAAAAAATAGGATTAGAAACACACGAATACACAAATGGTCTTCTAGATACAATACCAACTAAAGTGTACAGTAACATTCTCGCAGGAAAACTTGTGACAAATAAATACATTGTCAACTTCAAAGATACTGTACTTAGGAAACGTGTGTTAGAAGGGAATAGTTTTTTACCATGTTTTCGATTAGAAGCATTTTCATGAAAGAGGTGAGATTATGAATTTTTTGAGTTTAAATGAAATTTTAATGAAGAAAACATAACTCTTATGAAATCATTTAATATAATGATTTTAATTCTTAACAATATATTTTACTAGTAGGAATTATAATTATAGAGGAATATATGTGACTTTAGTATGTTTGATTTTCGCATAAAAAAATTATTAGAATCAACATGAAATATCAGAAAACAATCTCATTTGAGAGAGTCGTATAAATTGGTTGTTTGGCCCAAATAAGGTAAACATTTATTTTGTAGTATGGGCTTAGGGAGCAACATTCAGGGATGAATGTGGGGTAACAGTTACCATTCTATATGTAGTACGCTGTAAAGAAAGCCTCATTTGCATACACACAAAAAAAAAATGAAACCTATTTAAAGACTGGCTAATAAATAGAAAGTCATAAGTATATGAGGTGAAAATATTTTGATAATATGATCCACTAAAGTAGGGCAACATAAATGGGTTTATAGGACCACAATCGACTAACAAATAAATACAGAAATAGTATAAAGGTGTTGAAGAGTGTCTGGGGTGAGAAATAGTTGTGAAAATGTTAGTGGATGAGAGTAAAATGGTCGAAAAGATAAGTTGTAAGAATAAAGCTAAGGAAAGGGAGATGAAAGGAATGTTGAGGTGGGTTGTCACAAAACATGGGTTGCTTGCTTTTTACATATATAAATGCAATTTTGTACGGAGAAGGAAGAGGTTCCGGGCAAATCAGAGGATGGTAAATGATGTGATGGTTAAGCAGTAGCAAATCTAAAAGGAAGAAATTGGAGAAGGAATTGTGAGTGGTGTCAAATGTGAACAGCGGTGGGCAAGGTATTGGCCCCACGAGGTTGACGAAGAAGAGGTGGTCAACACTTACGTCTCCAATTCACCGTTAACTATGGATATCATCATCATCATCCCCCACAACCACACTCAACTTCAAATTTATCTATCTTTTAAACTTCACAAATTAATTTCAAATAACAGTACCATTTTATATGTACCATTTTACCCAAAAGCCATCTAATATTTTCCATTTTTCAAATATTCGAAACAGTGAATTTTTTTTAAAGAAAAAAGTCAAGCGAAAAGGGAAGAAGAATATTTGAGAGGATAATTTTGATTTCTAAAATAATTTTACTTCTTCTTCTAGCCCAAAATTGTTACATTATGAAGGGAACATGCAAAAATGAAAGAGTCATATTTGAAAATAAAATAAAAAAATGATTATCCGGATGATCTCCAAATCCTTCCCTCCAAGGAAACGACCATGACAGAAACATCATCATGATATTTACGGCGATCTCCGTGAGGAATATCCAGCAATTCATGAAAATCCATTCCTGCTAGAATCTTCTTCATCAAAATGAATGGCATAATAATATGAGAGAAGAGAGGAAGGTAGGTGAGACTGACCATTCTTTTTAGCGGCACGGAAGAGAAGCTCTGCTATGAGGTATTGTGCAGGATCGCCTTCGGGAACATTTTCCATGAACCACGTGACATGGGCAACTACCTCTTCATTGCTGAAATACTGGTAAAGCCCATCAGAGGACAGCACCAGGAACCGATCGCTTGAGGAAAGCCGGTGATGAACAACAGAAGAAGCGCAACTTAGGTATGGACCACTCCCCACATAATCAACTCGAAACATCTTCAGTAGAGGTTCGTTAAAAGATGGCTAAATCATACAATTTTAGTTAGAAAACGTTTCAAATATAACAATAACTCTTCATTATTCATTCTCAAAAAAGGAAAATTAGTATGTGTAGACAAATATGTTCCTATGGGCATAAGTAAAAGTGCATGATAACATATTATTAAAACCAACAATGATTAGAGTATCCCTAAACCAAAAATTTCCATGAATTAATTAACTACTAATCTTCTGCATAAGTCGTAATTTTCTCATCATTACACTTCTATTATATTTTTTCATTCATAGATGATCATCGGTGATAGATGTCAGGATTACTACAAAGAAGAGAAAGGAGGCTGTCTGTTCGATAACGAATAACAATCAAGCATGTATTTTTCTAATTGATGCAAGTCAAATTACACGATTGAATTTACAAATCAGTAATTGCAAATTTAAAGAAAATAATATTAAAAAAATAAAGAGCAATTAAGATTGGAATAAAGAGTGCATATGAAACATGTCAAATTAAAATTGTAAAGGAACTTTAAAGGTAAAAAGGAAAGAGGAAGAAGCTATTAAATTCATCAAAATTTAAATGCATCAAAATCTAAAGGAAGGCAGTTTAAATGAACAATTGTAAAATGTGCAATGAAATTTAAAGTACTTGAATTTAAAAGAGAGTTTGAGACAGAAGAAAGAACAATATTGCAATTTTGATGTGCTTGGAACGTAATTGTAAAATATGTAGGGAACATAAATCGAAAGGTAATACAAAAGTTGATGGAAATACAATGAAACCTAAGAGAGAAAGATGAGAAGAGAAACAAAGTAAAAGAATGACTTGTAATATAAATTGCAAGAATATAAATATAAACTGAAAACAAAGTAAGTGGACTGAAAATGCAAATACTTTATCGAAAGAAGTGATTGGAAATATACACTCAACTCATTACACAAGTAGTCATTGATGTGTAAGGTGTTACAAAGTGTTCGGTACAAGTGTTTAAACAATGATGAATATCTACCAGTTTTTTAATATATAAACATGTACTAGCCAAAATGCAGATGTATATTCTTTTCTGAATGTGAATCATCATTAACTCTTTGATTAAAAACTTCATAATATAAAAGTCATATAAACTCTGCATCTCTGATATCTTGCTATAATGAAGGCCCGACAGTTGGTCATGCCACAATTAGGGAGAAAAATAATAGCTTTACTGAATACTGACGTGATCACACAAATACGAGGGCAAGATTTAAATTCAGTCATACACAACATGCATGCATAAAGTAAATGAATGTGTATAACAACGCATATTATAACGAAGGGAAAAGTAATAGCTTCACAGAATACTAGCGTGATCAAACAAAAACAAGAGAAATATTTAAACTCAGTCATACACAACATTCATAATGTAATTAATGTATAACTATGCATATTATAACAGTTCAACATGCTACCTCTTTTTTATACTTCGAGGACCAATCTGTCACTGACCAGCACTAACAAACTAGACTAAAAGTTTTAAATGTAAAGTTCCAAGAATATGATTTATCTCTAATATGTTTTATCTCCCCTTCAAAGTAGATTAGACTTGAGAAGTCAAATATAACTAATTCACCATTGACTGCATCATCTGCTTATCCACCCACTCTTTTTTTGGTTAACATTTGACAATTAAATGAGAGAAAATCAAAGACTATGACGAGATTTCTAATGAACAAGAACCCTCTTAATGCATTGATTCTTGCAAGAGAATAGACACACACACACACACACACACACACACACACATATATATATATAAAAGGAGACAGGATGAATTTAAAAATATGTATATTTTTAGGTTCAAAATCTGAAATGGTAACTGTCCATGTTATGTAAACAAAGGAATGAAGTATGAACACAAGTGGAATCCCACCTATACACTATGGACAAAAGGACTGGAGCAAACTAAAATTCAGATAGCCAAAGTCAGAAGATCAACTGACCCTCTTCAGGAATCCAGCACCAAATGCTCTGGTAACTTTTAATTGTCCTTTCACTCGATCATTAAATATGGCCTGATTATCATCAGGGTGTTCTGCTCTTATTCTGAAAACTTCCTGCAACCAGAATTGAAAAATATTGGGTAAAACTATTTTAACAACCCAATTCTACTGTTACTTCCCCCAAAATTTCTAATCACTTGATTTTTTTTTTCTTGAATTTCAAAATACATCTAATCTAAATAAGAAAATCACTCTGGACCTTGACAAACGATGTATGTAGTATATGCAGATACTAGATGTAAGAAATAGGCAGAGTTTGTCTACAAAGAGAAATGGGTAAATCTATGCTAGGTCCTGATCTTATACTGATGAAATATGAAATAAGGGTAAATGAGATTTAAAAAACGTGATTAATAGAGTACGTTGAATTCAATAGCTGATATTTGAAAACTTGAAGTTATTTTATTAAACTTTTTGTCTAAATTAGAAATTCCTCAAGCAAAATTGCCAACAAATCTGACATGAACTGATCAGAAATTTATACTTAAACATGGATTTCTCCCTTTACAAACTAAATTTTACTTCTCATTTGTTAAAAGCAAGTGAATAAAGAAAGAAACACCCCCTAGCAAATGCCAAATGCCTATTAAAAAATGGGTCTCTCATATAAATTCTATTCCATTTAATACCAAAATGGCATATTATGGTGCATTGTGCTTGCTAACTCACTTATAGAAAAATGTTTAAAGAAACCTTTTTCACTATCTTGGTAAATGTACTATCAATATTCCACGAGATGGAATTTAAATGGGAAAAAAAAATCAAATTTGAGCATTTTCAGGTATTTAAATATGAAAAATAATTAAAAATACGTGTAGAGACAAGATAAATCAATATATACTTGACAATAACAAACCATGCACGCCTAGCAGATCACATTTTAGAAATAGAACATTTGATTTGACTATAATATATTAACTTATAGCTCATCAATCCAAAAAGGGGATGAAACGCACCTCTTCAATACTTGTACTATGATCTGTGGAAAGCTGAACAGCCCTCATTTTCAATCGGCACATGGATATCTCTCGGTTTTTGTTTATCTTGTTAACATGCTTGTTTATATTGTGCACTGGGGACTCCTCCGAAATTCTGTCCAGCTCCATGCCCACTAATGACTCTCTAGATCTGTTCCTATGCCTCAAGTCGTCTTTGATGAGACAGGGATTAGGATGACGATCATTTGGTCGTTCTTGAGCCAAAATTGCACGACTATCTCCAAGGTTCAAAACATAAACATCTTGATCCTTCATCAGCATCACTAAAACACATGATCCCATTAAGGCAAGTTCTGGATTTTTATCCATATTGTTCTCCACCATTTTCATGTATGCCTCTTCTGTTCTTTCAAGAGCCCGCGCCATTGCACTTAAAACTGCATTATGATCTACGCCAGACTTGCATATTCTAAAGGGTCCTGAGGATTCCACTAATTTCTTGTTAAAACAAGATTCCTCCCTATGCCAATCATAACTCCAAGGAAAGAGTTTCTTACGTAAGGACTTCTGTTTCCTGTACATTTTTCTGATTTTTGTACCAATAAATGACTTTCTCGAATTCTGCCTTCGTCCTGAAACACAAAAGGGAGCTATTGGCTCCTGTTTGGTTGAATTAAACCCAGGGCCTCCATTTTCCCCTGAAGTAGTAGGACATTCATCCTGGTGTCCAGATCTATCCTCTTTACCATCAGATGAGCAGAACCTCAACTGCCTTTCTTGTGTTATTTCCCCAGGAACTATAGAATACTTGTCATGTTCTGACACCTGTTCATTCCAAGATTCCATCTGAAGTAGCTCATAAAGTCGCACACTTCTTCTGCCTTGACCACTCAACTGTCCAATTGGAACAGATACAGGAACAGGATGGTCAACACTGGGACTTCCACAATTTTTCTGTTCAGCATTTACCTCCACTATTTCACTATTAGATGATTGATCAACTATTACTGGACAAGAAGTTTCTAAACAGCAAGAACTTTCTTCATTTGAAATGTTATGAGCATCAGACACTTCCTCCCTACCGCATTCTAGAGCAATTGCATCATTTCCATTATTAAGGACTTCAGGTTTAAGTGGATCAACAGGATTATCTTCATAATCCCAGAGCAACCCTTCTAATTCCTTGTCTATAAACTTATAAAGATGACTCATCAGAAAATCAGGAGCATCCGGTCCACTAAAACCATCATATATCCCAATAAACAACCACCCTTGTTCTTCAGAAAGCACAACATGAACCCTATCTTCCCCAGCCTTACCATGAGCCCACTGCAAATTTTGTGTATGTTTATACTCTAACTCGGACGATCCAACTTCAGTACAGTTTCTAGAAACTTCAGACCGAAACTTTGCCTCTTTGGAATTCCAAGCTAGTTGAGACACCGGATGAAGGAATAACCGCTGCACCCAACTGACACCCATGGAGTGCTTCGAAAAAGTCCTAGAAAAAGTGTTTCTCATAGGACCACTCACACTTCTCATAAGGCGCTGGAGGTGTGGCCTTCGTCGACCACGAGCAAGGGGCGCTGAAAAGTTGGACTTGTCAGTGGCATCAAGAGGTCCTGACATAACTCCCTTCTCTATCGGCCCAGACATGAAACCACCACCCTTATCCAATGGACCGGAAGCGAATCTCTCCAAAGGACCCGACATGAATCCATTCAAAGGTCCAGAACCGCGGGGAACAGGCTGCAAAGGGATTGCAGCAAACGAAGAGGTTCCCTCAAAAGATGCAGCAGGCTCTAGAACATCACTGGCAAGTAGAGCATTCTGGTTACCTGTCCTTGCAGTGGAAACATTGGCACTAACCGAAGCCCCTGATATTGTTTTGAATGTGGTTTCCGGAACATTCTTGCCAGGTCTCTCTTCGATGCTCTCATGCCTAAATGAGCCACTCAATGTCTCAGAATCAAGGGTGCTAGAGTCAACAGTAAACCTCTCAGAGTTTGATGGGGTAATGGCAGGAGATTCAAAAATAGAAGGCCTAACATAACAGAAAGAGTGGCCCAACCCTTCATCTAATGGCTCCAGAAACTCCAAATCAACCCCACTTTTGCCATTAAAAGGCACCAAACAGCCAACAACACGAGAAGTGCCGTTGCCCATTATTATTCCAACAAATGCAAACACCCCTGAGACAGAGATGCCAACACCACAAGGTTTCTGAACCTAAGCACCATTACCAGATACAAATACAAACCAGACGAAAACCTAATATGCCGCTAATTATTAAACACCCATGATTACTCATATCACCACCATGCACCATCAGCATCATCGTCGTTGTCGTCATCAAATTCCGAGGCTGAAAGCGATGCGACCCATTTTCTGTTTCGGGCTAAAGTGGCATAAAAAGAGGTCAAAACACAGTCTTGCAAAGTGGGTCTGAAAGAAAAAACAAAATCCCTCAAACAGCGCCAAAGGGGAAAAGCAGGAAACGAAGTTTTGGTGGGAAAATGTTGCGATCTAACCTGGTGGGCAGTGGTTGAGAAACAGATCTAAGAGCTGGAAAGAGGGTGCAGTGAAAGAGAGATGAGAGGCGAATAGAGAGGCAGACCCATTTTAGAAGGGAGAGTTTTTTTCCTTCTTCGGCGCGGAATCTGACAGATGAACATGAAGGAAGGCGTGGGCGAATTGAATCATGAACGGGGAGGGGCTTGTGAGGGGAATTGAGAAGAGGTGTGAAATGGAGTGTGTGTTTGACTAACGGGGGAGCAGAGAGTGTGGGAGAAGACAAGAAGAGCAGAAGGATGAGAGCAGCGTGGGGTTTTGTTTTTCTATCCAAGTTTAGATGCTAGATTTTAATTCTTCTTTTTAGTGTTTAAGTTTCGTTTTGTTGACCTAAACAATAAATTAAGTTGTCGCTGACTAATAAGATCATATATCACATGTTAGAACATCTCAGACAAAACTTACTTATTATTACAATAAAAGATGATATATTTTTAATATAAAATAATTTATTTGTATATAATAAATATTGAAATAATATTTTATACATAACAAAATTATTAAAATGTTTTTATGAATAGAAAACTATATTTTAACAATATTTATCAATTACATTAATATTCAATTTAAATAATTGTTTAAAATAAATTTATTATTATTGTTCTAAAAAAATATTAATGTTTGTAGTTTTCAATCAAAAATTATTTTTAATTTTTATTTATAATAAGAATAATATAATTATTCAGATAACAAGGTTATTTTGATAAAGTCATATGAATATTATGACTTTTTTTAATGTATGTGATAATAAAAATGGAAAAAAAAAACTGTTATTATGTGCGCGAAAGGTAGTATTTTCTGGAATAAGTGCAATCTATTTAACTCATTGGTGAAATAATCTATTTAAGAGTTCAACAATACCCAGTAATTACAGGGTAAATAAATGTTAGAGTATAGTGACAATGCCAAACTATGTTACAGTGTTCTGGTTTTTTTTTTTAAGTAGTTATTATTAAAAGTAAAAATTAAACAAATCATATAATTAGTTTTAAAATTATTTTAGAATGGTACTACACAGTTCGATATATTATTTATATAAAAGCCTTAAATTAAATGTATCAATCTATTATATAATTTAGATATTTTATTTTGTATTATTTTTATATAAAATTGTATTATTTGATATAGTTTTATAGATAAATTATGACAGCAATGAATAAAATATATTATCAGAACACACCACACATGACAAAGTCAGTCAAAACTTGATATGATAGAAAACATTAAATAAATATTGGGACTATGTATTATAATAATATAATATTTCGTAAATGTTAGGTATTATTTAAAGACAATATTATCTGACCTAAAAAATTAAAAAGTTTTTATTATGAAAATGATAATATTTTACATCAATAATGAAAATTAAAATGCTTAATAAAAGTTATTGTTTAATGACATGAATAATAATAATAATAATAATAAATTACATGTTTAAATTGTATCATGCCTAATAATACTGTTACATGTTTAAAACATAAAATGAATTGTTGAAATGATATTATAAGAAAATGTTAGGAGTAGAGATTTGGTTTGACTAGTAAGAAAAAGAATCAAACATGGAGGGTCTCTTTCATTGGGTTTCGAATGGTTTAGGAGGTATTAAATACAAAATTTAAATAAAATAATAGCGTTGAAAATTACAGTGTACTTACTATACGGTGGGGTATTGTATATATGGATTTTGTATTATGTTATTAACAATTAATTTTTATTATAGAATATAATTGACTATTTTTAATACAAAAAAAATTGTTCATTTACAAAATTCAGATATGAAATTTAATTTAAAGAAAAAATTAATATTAATATATTTTCCCCTAAAATATATATTTTGCTCCGAATGATTGTTAGTTTTTGGTGCCGTTGAAGTCAATAAATTAGCTATGCCCCATCATCACTCTCATCAAGGAAATTGGATGGGTGGGAATCCAGTGCGACACACCCCACAATCTCATAACATCGTTTTTTATTTTGCCATATTCTTTAATCAATGTTTAACTTCAATAAATGTAAAATGTGTATGTTTTCATTTAATTTTTGTTATATTATTGACTGAAAATATTTTACCAAAGTGATGATGATATTGTTTTCATTCGCGTTATACCAAAAATAAATCTTACATCTTCAATCGGTAAGTCATAAAAATGATTAAAGTAATGAACCTTGGTGTGGATAGTTTAGTTTTATGTGTGTGGTGTTTTTCAATGTTTGACATAATGCGAGAATAGTTTCCGAATCACAGACACGAACCAATCAATCCGAAGACCTTTGAAAAGAAAAAGCAATCATGCTCTTAATTTTCTATTTCTTTGACTTGTGGATTCATATAATTGAGAATGCATTTCTCAAATAACTTGCCTTCTGCTCCACACTATGATCTTGGGATTTTCTTTCTCTTCTTACAAATTATAATTATTCTCTCATTACTTGTATTTTTTTCCTTTATTTTAATATTTCACCAAATGCACAATTTCCGTTTAAATTATTTACCCTACGAGTGTTCGTCATTAATTGTAAGGGCCCAATGTCGGAGCTACATTTTGTCTCACCATACAGTGAAAACAAAGTCTTCAAGTTGCAACCTTCTAAACTTGTTTGCTTTGAATCAAGTGACAAATTTGGCAATAAAGTTTTGTTTTAAATTAGTCATTAAATAGTGTGTTTTAATATTTTTTTATTGTATCATATTACATAGTCCTATATTGAGAAATCAATCACGTGTCATTCATTCATAATCATATAACGTAATATATATATATTAAAAAAATATTAGGCAATACTCATGATTTATCTGAAATTTAATTTCTTTGAAAAACATGTAAAATATTCTTGAAACATTGGTATAAATTATGAGTTCCCAGGTTTTGAAGAGAAAAAGTGTTATGAGGATTTTTATATTTGAAAATAATATAAATAAATATTTACAAATATTCAAAATTATATAAATAATATGTGTAATTCTTAAAAAAATAAAAAAACAGTGCATACTTTTTAAATAAAAATAGTGAAAAATTATTAGAAATTAAATATGAGTTAAAATTATTGAATAATTTATAAATATAAAATCTGGTATATTATATATATTTTTTTAATTCGTGATCTTAGTTATGAAAAATTCTTTAATCCTTTAAATTTTTTTAACAAAGACAACTTAGAAAAAAAATGACCAAAAAACACACCCAGATGAAACACGAAGAAACTGATAGACAATAGGAAAAAAAAATCGTCCAATTAATTGTGGTGTTGCGGCTTCTTACATGTTAAAGATATGATGAGTAGAGTTTAGTATTTGACAGGTGTTGAGGAGGGTTGAAGTAGTAGTAAGATATATGGTGGGAATATTATGTGTACTTTTTGTTGTGTGCATTAATTATATGGTTGAATGGATAGTGAGAAAGGAGGTTTTTATAGCCATGAAGATTGTAATGAGGAGAGGAATGGGATGGTTGTGTGTGTGCTTGGGAGGAAGTGAGATGTCTAGTCATGGTTGTGATTTCATTAATGGAAGGAAAAGGAGGGGGTGAAATTATGAGGCATTTAAGCATATTTTGTTGGATAAACATTATTGGTGTGACGACCAAAATGTGAATGTAATGGGTGGAGATTTGGCACTACTCACTCCAACACACGCTGCGTCATCATTGGAGTTTGCTGCAATTTCAAATCCAAATGAATATTACTGTTACCATTACGATACGAAAAAAGGAAACACAAATAATAGTACGAACGATTACATAAAAAGTAACGCAAAACTGATTCCCCACGACCACCATAGGCACCAACTTCTCCACAATCACGACTAACCAAACCCACTATGCAATCACCATGGATGATGACCCAATAAACTCAGTGGCTATCATTTCAACCTTTTATTATCATTATAAAAGATATAACACACAACCCAAACACACCGCTCACTTCACCTTTAACCGTATCTTATTTTGAAACTTCCTAAGATTTGGCTTCCTATATTTTCTTCACTCCTATCTTTTTATAGGATAGTTTTGTGCGATGACTTCTTGCGGGAGTTGAGAGGACCTTGTTATCTAACTCTCATGTATGATTTTGACTCTCTAAATTTAATGAATATTTAATATATTTATTTGTATATTTATAATTTTATCTTCTCAATTCCTTCTCAATTTTCTAACTCTCATATAATTTATAATTTTGTACTCCTTAAACTTAATGGTCATTTAATATATTTAAGTATATATTTACAATTTTATTCTTTTATCCTTTCATCTTTTTACTTCATTTTATATTTATTTATTATTTATTAATAATATATTATTTGGTCCTTACAAAGATAAATGGTAAAGATCCGCCACTGTTTTGTTTACCTGTATTTCAAATGCTTCAACTTTTCACATCTACTATATTATTCAATTTAAAATGGCTCAAGATTTTTCTTACAACCAAATTAAAATTTTTAATTTTTTTTCATAAATAATCTTACCCATCACCAATGAAAATTTTCATAAATAATCCTTTTCAACACACAATGAAAACTTTCTGACAAACATGGATTAATTTTTAATTTAAAGTCTCAACTAATACACTAATTAAAGATGTTGGATGAAACAATGCACGTCACTGATCCATCCAGGTTTGAAGTTTCATTTGTTTGTTTTGTGTGAGACGTGACATGTAATTGACGCTGTGTTACGTGTTTTTTTAAAACCCAACAAATCCTTTTATTCTCATTCATTTTATTAAAAACCTGGCATAAAAACTTCTTTGTTAAAAAATAAAACGAGTGAAGTAGCTATCGAGTTTCCGAAAGTTGTCACTGTTGGTTCATTCGTTCTGGAGAATGACAGTAGACTTGTAAAAAGTTTGCGATTGTGTACTCATGATTGTTGTAAAATAATTAATGATTTTAATTTGTTTCGTGAAGAACGAAAGTAAACTCGTAAAGAGTTAGAGGAATTATTGAGATTGTATTCTCACGATTGTTGCGAGATAATGATTTTCATTATCTAGGTGAGTCCATTGATGGTTTAGTTGAATCATATGCATATGTCCCTGCGTTTGGGAAGGTTTATGCTGATGGTGAAACTTATTGATTTTGGGTTTTTTGTTGAAAGTTTTTTGTAAACTCGTTGGTGGGTGGTCTGTTTTATGTTGGTGTTCATAGTTATTTGTTAGTAAGAATCTTGAAAAATTGTTCCTTGATTTGTCTCTCAAAGATTGCAACTTTAGTTAATGTATCTCTCACGGGTATAGTTGGAGGTATATATTTACATTCATTTAAGGTTTAGATTTAAAAATAAATAAATCGTGGTGGTATTTTGTGTAATGGTGTTCAAACTCACTTTGTGCTCCACTATGAAGGAAGATTCCTGAGAAATGAGGGTGAATTATTGGAGTATAGTGGCTGAAGTTTTGTGTCTTAAAAAACATGAATGAGGACTACAAGATATTTGGTTGGTTTTGTATAAAAAGTACCATGTAGTTGGGGATATGTACTTTGTTCTGATGAGGAAGAGGCATTATTATGTTGTTGAATGTTTATTTTGAACACAAACTTGATCCAATGCCAAAATTTATTGAAGGACGAGTAGATGTTGAGCCCCATTTAAAAACTATGGTATAAGAAGGTATCGAGGAGCAATAGTTACAACATTTTTTACAAATTATTGTTATTTGTTAGTTTTTTATTATCAAAATTTACTTCTTCTTTTTTATCAATCAACAATTTTGATCGTGACTTTTTGTAGGGTAAAAAAATATGTATAAATAGGCAGGGTAAAAACCATGATTTATTAGGAATAAAAAAGTCTATGATTTAATTTTTTAATTAATTTTTTTTCTCTTCAAATTACCTTAACGAAACTCTAAACATTGAAAAACCATATTATTTAGGGACCTCTAATGCTAAAAATCTGATTCGATTCGATTCAATTCAATTTCATAGTTCATACATTCTTTCATTAACATCTAAAAGCAGAGTGTGATTCCAAAATGGGACACATTTTCTGCGAGTCTGGCCCATTTTATGGGCCCAGATTCTTCTTCACTGTTTGAGACTTTTGGTAAAAGCCCACAAGTATAAATATTGGCGTAGATTGGACCACGAAAAGAAAAACAGCTACAACCTCGTTTAGAATTGAACAAGAGAACAAACATTGAACATATTTTAATTAGAGTGGTGATATTTTCACAACCAGAAACCATACAATCCTTCAAACAATTTACTTTTATTAATATAATAATCTATAAAATGATTAAATAAAAATAAAAATAAAACAAAATTATTATTATAATATTAAAAGAAAGTTATTTATAGGAGTTGTATGGATTTGAGTTGTCAAAATATCATTTTCCTTTTAATTATCACTGAAAATTTCTCTTGTCCATTAACCAACCTTATATTTTAAATTCACAGATGGTGACTGAGAAATCAATGTGAGTCCAGTTGGTGGTAGGACCAGCACTAGCAAGCAAGAAAAATATTAATACTTGCTATTCATCTTACATAATTAATAAAATCAATTTGTCATAATTGTATGGAAAACTAGCATTTTTTTTTGTATAAATAAAATACTATAATAGTAGTGGAATTTTTGTAGGGTCAAAAAAGGATTATAACCTAAAACCCTTGACCAAAAATTAGAATCCATTCCATATAAGCATTTAAAATGTTTTTTTTTTTACATTAAAATGGGAAACCATTAAACATAAACACCCAAACCTCCTTCATTTTATCTTCCTATTTCATTAAGCAAAAGAAAAATTCAAAACAAATTTGCATATTTATACTCTTATTTCTATTAATCTCCTAATTTCTCTTGTTCTCTAAAATATTCTGAAGACAGCTTGCCTATTAAATTATTATTATTATTTTTTCCTTTTGTTTTTTAGATATTAGAGCATTTCCTTACTAATACAGAGGGTATTAAATTAAATATATATATATAGCTATTTATATTAATCGATGTAAATCAGTAAATAAACATTAAATAAATATAAAACTACATAGTTATTGTTTTTCTTTTACATATAAAAAGTGCACACACATCCTTACAACCCTTTTATCCCTTCCGGCTTTCAGGCTGTATTTTCCGAGTTCTTCACAATCAACACCGCGCAGCAAAACAAGGGAAGGTTTGAGTCAGTATGGCGTCTTCATTATCAGCTCAATTAGTTCATTGTCAGAACCCACTTCCACGCCTTCAGGTCTCTGCTTCCTCTTTTATTCTCCTTATCCATCAATACTAACAATTATTGAAAAGGCATTACTATTAAGTGCACTGTTTTGACTTTGCCTTTTGGAAGCACCCAAGTCGCTTTTATTCATATAATGTATGAAAGGGATGATTTTTCACACCTTTGCTCATCAGGGGTTTTGGATTGCAAAGGTGCCAACTGTTAATAATGATAGAAGTTTGCTGCCATTTTTTCAGGGTAATTTGAGCAGGGATGTGGCTACTAAGGTTCAAAGGCCACGTGTGGTCTGTTGCGGTACAGGGTCACGTGGTTACGGTATAGCATTGGCATCAAGGTCACACTATGCCTTGAGGTTTCCTGTGAGGCAACAATCTGAAGCAAGGTCAATTAGATATAGGAGTATGACATGTGTCAATGCGACAGACAAGGTAAGCTTCTCATTTAAAATTTGTGGTTTGGGATTGTGTTTACTGAATAATAGTAACTAGTATTGTTACTAGAGAGTGGAGAAGCTAAAGGATGGCACCTGCAGGATCTCTAACTTGTACTCTTTGTTCCACTTGGGCATTATTACAAGAGTGCGAAAAGAAAGTGGTTTTCATATTTTCCTATACAATTTTTTGAGATGAAAACAAAACAAGGTGGTATTTCCTGTAATTATTAAAAAAATAGAAAATGGAAGGAGAAAACATTTTCTTAACCAAGCAGACCCTGAACATTTCTTAAAATTTAGACCACTTGTTGATAGTAGAATCTTTCAATATTGGTTTTGTGATTTTTAATATTTACAAGTCCATGTTTGGAATCATATTCGTTGGTTAAATCTGAAAAAGTCTTGACAATGCTCAATAATCTCTTATACTGTGATTAACACGATTCTCTTACATGGTTTTGTTACCTTTAGGCTTTAGAGCTTCAAGCCAAGGTGACAACCAAGTGTTTCTTTGATGTAGAAGTTGGGGGTGAAGCTGTGGGCAGGATTGTTTTGGGCCTTTTTGGAGAGGTTGTTCCTAAAACAGCTGAAAATTTCCGTGCTTTGTGCACAGGCAAGCAATCAAACTTTTCTGCATCATTTCTCTTGTTGTCGTTGGATTACTATCTGAAATGGACTGTGTAATATTGAATTTTAACAGGTGAGAAAGGATATGGTTACAAAGGAAGCTCCTTCCATCGTATAATCAAAGATTTCATGATTCAGGGTGGAGACTTTACGGAAGGAAATGTGAGCTTATTATATTTTTGTGTGTATGACTGCATACATGTAGTAATGAGTGCATTTATTTTCACACTGACAAATGAGGCTACTAAAGTTTATTCTCACGTAATATGTGCTTTTATTGGCTGCAGGGAACTGGTGGAATTAGTATCTATGGTCCTAGTTTTAAAGATGAGAGTTTTGCCTGTATGTCTCTATTTCTGGCTGGATAGTAATATTTAATTACAAGTTCTTAATAGTAAATGGCTGATTGGTTTTCGAAATTCAGCTTTGGCTACTTTTCCAATTTATAACAGTTTAATCAATCCTCTAAAATTTCTAGTTTCATCACTTTCTGGCAGTGAAGCATACTGGTCCCGGAGTTCTAAGCATGGCAAATGCTGGTCCAAATACCAATGGTAGTCAATTTTTCATTTGCACTGTAAAGGTGAGAGACGTGTGCTTCACCTCCTGATTTTTACTGGTTACTAATATGTAAACTTCAATGAAAGTAATCTCAAAGTTCTAATCAAGCCTAACATCAATATTCACTGATTGGTTGTTTATTGGAAAGCCTCACTAGTCACTAGTCTGTTTTCATATCTAAGATATGTTTTCTGCACAGACTGAACCATTTGGCTGTGGATGTTATTTATCATATTCAGTGCTCAATTATTTAACTAAAATATACGAATCTTAAAAAATTTAGCTTATTAATTGTCTTTATTTTTTTATGCAGACTCCATGGCTAGACAATCGTCATGTTGTATTTGGACATGTCGTTGATGGAATGGATGTTGTGAAGGCACTTGAATCCCAGGAGACAAGTAGGTTAGATGTCCCTCGGAAGCCATGCAGAATTGTTAATTGTGGAGTACTACCAATAGATGGCTGATCTTTTCGCGGAAGATCATCACCTTTCTTATGATTTTCAGTTCGTTTCTCAATGTTCTGATTGTCCCTTATTAGTCATGTTAATGTGTTTGGATTGTCATTAGTGGCTGCCAAATTACCCATATTTTGTATGTCAAGACTCGTGCTTAATCTCTATAACAATAATATTCTCTTTTCCATTTCTTTATCTATGCTTTTGTTATTTGCGTTTACACGCTCCCAACAATATGATTACATTTTTAAGCATCACTGTATGCGGGGAGACAACTGCCATCATGGTTGGGATTGTTCAGCAGGTAAATATTTGCTACTTGTTCAAAGCAAAATCATGCAAGGACCATGGTTTCAACTGTTGGGGATTGGATCATTTGCTGTTGGTCTCCCTCAATCTCCCATATTTCGGGTAATGCTTCTTTGATGTTATGAATGCTGTTCAGTGCATGGTCGGCACCAGGCACCAAATCTGAGCGTCCCACCTGCCACCAATATGGTAACTTGCGTTAGATATGTACTTAAATCATATATAGCTATTCAAATTCTAAAATTTCCCAAAGAGGATGAATGAATATAAATTATAGCTTACAATAACTGTGTTAAGTCCAGCAGCCTTCCCACTTGCAATGTTTCTAGCACTGTCATCAAAAAACAACTGCATTGTGTGGTAGAGGGAACAAAAAGAGCTGTGGTAAGTTGTATCCAAGACTAAACGGCCAAAATAAATAAATAAACACATAAAGGCATAATTTCCACGTGTCACTTCTTAATTTACGTAGTGTTTGCTTCTTTTTTTTGTTAAAACGTGCATTTATCAATAGTTTCATATCATATAGGTTAAAATGACGCAGAAGCTACTTGTCTATGCTTAAGTTATGCTCGTTCATTTCTACATTATGCTAAACACAGCACATGTAATTGATTTTACCGTTTTCCTTGGATCTAAATTAGCAATCTGAATGGCGGCTTCAATGGCTTCCACAGAGGGTTTGCAGAGGATTTGTGTCTTGGAGTTGAAACACGCACTCTCTACCTGGTTACAATCTTTTTTGTCAAACGAGTTACTCCATGTTAGGACGTGATTATCAGTTGGTATATTTGTGTGATTAGGAGGATTAAGCGTTTCAAAGCAAATGATGCTATCAAAACATTCTTTCAAGCCCAATCTGCTGAGCACTTGGTGTGCATGTGCTTCATCTGCATTTGTGAATACCTGAGATGACCATTTCCTAGTCTTAGAATTGTATGAAATACTCTCCACTGAACAGACTAACGTAAAATATTTGCATACTATTTTACGCTGAGGCATGGTAAGCAGAAGGTTCCTTAACACTGGATCTGGCGTCAGTTTCCCGTATGGTAGTCTTCCATGCACGTAGGCATGAAATTCATCATTGTCAAACTCATAACCAAATGCCTGAAATTGGTATTTTCGTAAGGAAAGAACGATGAAGAGAAAACCGAGAAAATGCCTCAATTTCTGTACCTTTAGTCCTGCCATAGTTGTCCCATATTCCTTGTAAAAATCCAGGCAAATATTTGGTACTTCACTTTCTTCCATATGCAAGTGTTTTAACATGTACTCTGTAAACAAGATTGGTTTAACTAAAGGACTTAATTTGCATATTATCTTATTGGAGGTACTGTAATTTTCATGGTTAATGTTCGTACCTTCTATGTTCTTCCGACATGCCAAATTGAGACCTGAGCTCAATGGGTAGAGAGTATCGTCCATATCTGTGGAAAAAGGTGGAGCCATACATAAATAAAACCCCCCCATTTTCTCTTTAAAATGGTGACAGAACACGTTTGCAATGGCTTGGTTTAGTTGAATAGGAAAAAGAGGGAAATAATAACTTGATTCTCTCCGAAACTTCCTTTTTTTTTAAGTTGTTCTTTTCAATTTATAAATTTTAGGAGATAAAAGCATTGTTCCTATCCCTTGTTCTCATACGACTTTTTCTCTCAAAATCAAATATAAAACTCATCCAAAACTTGAATTATCATTCTGCACTCTCTAGTCTCTACTCCTTGTTTGATTATATCACTGCCATCATAAATTTTCCAGAGCTTAAAAACTTGGTAAAAAAAATAGTGAATTCAGGTGCAATTTCATAACACTTGAACCAAAATTGTACAACTCGGAAACATCCAAGAGGGCACTAATAGAGTAGCATCATTCATACCGAAAAGCAAGCAATCATACTGGAACCCAGCAATCCTGCAGGAAGTATCCATCTTAAACAAATTCTAATCTGCATCAACATCAAATGAATTTGTTAATTCCAATGTTCACAAAAACCCTGCTCAGTAAACCACAACATGTGTTGAAATCCATTGAGAATTAAGAAATTAAGTATGGGATGCAGAAGCTGTAACTGTTAACTTCTTAGTAAATATGAAAAACCATATCTGGGACATGGATCCAAACACAATAATATTATGTTTGCCTTTGGCCAATGAAATTTTAAATGCAAGTATCATCACTTCTGGCAACTTAATGGTTTCAGTTAGAGTATGATCATAAAGGTAAATGAAAAGAGAAATACAACTTTTTCATTACAAGAAAGAAAAATAAAGTTTCAGCGCAAGGTTACCAAAGGTTTTAGTGTATATGTATTAAAGACTTGGGGAACCAGAACCGATGAAGAAGATGAGTATACAGGTATATAAGATCAAAACCTCCAATTTATAGCTCAGTATAACGATTCCACCTAATATAAAACACCGAGCTAAGAAAGTTATTTAATGTGGTGTGATACTACCGATACATCAAACATCAATCATCAATGTGAAGCGCATAATGTCACTTATGATAAAGTAATAATGAAGGCTAAGCACAGGATGAGGACACTATATTAATTAGAGGACAGAAAAAGAAAGTACAATAATTCGCAGGGAAACGAAACAACACTTGTGCTGTGGTGTAATTGAGTGTAGCAGGAACAGTTAAGTAGTAGCACGCTCACATGAATCTATTTATAGCGGGCGTGCATGAATTTGTAGGAGGACCCGCCACTAGGAAAGAATGTGCGAGGTGACGCATGAAGTGGTGAAATCTGAGGTGGAGAACGTGGAGTTTTTTCAATTGGATTGTAGGATTTGCACCATTTGTAATTTTATTGCTCCGTTGCTCTCATTCATCAGGTCCACAACTTTGAATGTAGGATTTGGTATTAGTTAATTATGAAAATATATGCTACTATCCTATGCATGTGGCCCATGTGTGTTGAAGAAAAGCAATTAATCTTGTTTTTGTCATATGAATAGGATAAGCTTTGGAATCCCCTAATGCATAGATGGGGTGGTGAAGATGAGGTTTATTCTTTTTTATCTAAGGAATATTATGAGCATCAACGTTGTTTTCTGTAATTATAATAAACCATAGCAACCTCAAAATTCTTGTTACTTTATGTCCTTTGCAACCAAATCTGATACCAAAACTCCTGGGGATGGACATTGTCCAATACATGGAATTTTTTCATTTTGTTTTCACTTTCGTATATATTCTCCTTCATAGACAATTATGATCATCACACAGAACAAATACTGAATAAAAACACTTTGTTTATAGTGAGAATTCAAACTTTATTTCACTCCCTTGTACAGATTAGTCTCTTCTGTTAGATCTAGTTTCTGTCTGTTAAAACTTTAAACTTTTAAATTTATGACAACCAATAAGTTTCATTTTCGCAATTTATCCACCAGTTCATTAGAATGTTACATATTCCTTGATTCCCATTTAGAAGGAATAAAGAATCTTTGGTAATTTCCCATTCCTTGTACTTTATGCATCGAGCTTTGCCCAGTGATTGATCCCCAAATTTTATTCCTACCAGAACAAAAAAAATAAAATCTTAAGCCAAGAATATTTGTAGCACTTGATATTAACAAATAATATTAAAATTCTGTATAAAATCTTATTTAATTTAATTAAAATATATATATACGTAATTTTTTTTTACATGTATTCTTTCTTAGAAAAAAAATTAAAAACTAAAGATAACAAAAACACTTTTGTTTTTGCAATACACACAGTATGGACCAAGCACAAAGAAGCCATATCCAATCTTCTCTTAACTATTTACACCCACATCCTCTTAAGTGTTCACAAACATCTCATAAAACTTTTACGTGAATTCAACCACCAAACTTGGCGTGGCCAAGTTTGCAAAAGAAAATTTCTGTCCAACTTCCTCCGTATCACACTGATATATACAACAGCAAAATAGGTTTGAAGAAACTTTTCTAGTTAAACAAAGTGGTTTTTTCACTTGCAAAAAATTAAGGGTAAAGAATAAAAAAATATCTGTCTTACTTTTGATTTAAAAGTAGTTATAGGACCACATAGCATACCATACCATTATAATTCTAAAAGTATTAATGCTCTAGAGTCCAAAGTTGGTTTCTGTCAAAAGGAAGAAGAGTCTAAAGTTGGTACATTGAATAACATCTCATCTGGAAAAATACACAATAAAAATAAAAAAGACAATGACTTATGTTAACATATAAAATTGATAAGTATTAAGTATAAGAATTTATACTACTTTTAATATAAAGTTTTTTAGATAAGAAGGGATAATACCTCAGGAGGTTCATATTATCTGGATAACAGGAAGTCTTTATTCGAAATGATATTAGAACCCAATCATTTTCTAGTAAGGGGCATGATAGTAAAAAATATATGTAGAAGGCGAGTAAGATAAATCTTTAGAAATGGATAACCAAATACTACCAATTAAGTCCTGTCTTGTTAAACTCCACTTTTTCTCTTCCCAAAAACATCTCAAAAATCTTTTTTCTCTAAGATTGAAAACCTTATAGGATATTCCTATGTCCTGGAAGATGCCCAAATCTTCCAAACGTACAATCCTCTTTTGAGCCCTTATAATATTTTTAAGAGACAAAGATTCACCCTTTGATCTATCTCTTGACTCCTTTCTACCAGAAAACCTCAGGTCAAGGAGTATGTTCAATCCCCAAAGATAGACCAGTGTGCCCTTGCCTCCACCACAGAAGAACAGTATGTCAACATCAAGATTCTCAAGGATCTCATAAGATACTGGATAAATGAAGGATATACTCATCTCCACTATGTGGCTATATGGTTAGTCTTTTTTCTCCATGGAAGGCAAGAACTACCCGTTTCAACAAGAGTCTCTCTCTTAGACTCTAGCTACCTCCACTATGAACATGTCGTCATCGGAACTGACTACTCTCCATATCGGGAGTGTAGTTCTGACTATCTTTCCCAAGTTTAACGTTAGCTTGAAAGATCTTACCATCTTTCAGAGATTAAAGGTTCAAATCCAGATCACTAGAGCTGAGCAGGTAGTTGATGCCCTATCAGTCACCCTCCATCATTAGATTATTTACAGGTTGCAAGATCATGCTATATATAAATCTTGCGCTACCATGTAAAGATGGAGCACTATTCATGTAACATCCCGATTCTCAATAACCCTGGTTTGTTAAATTTTGACAAAATCTTTGTCAAAATTTTAATAATTAAATTATTAGGAATTGGGTAAAGGAACTATAGAGTTTTATGTTTGTTAGATTATTTATGATTTTCTAGAATTTTTCTAGAATTTTTAGAAAATACTTAAAATTGATTCGTTTCGCGGGCAATTGGACGCCTGATAGTAATTATATGATTTAGGGTTGAAATTGAAAGAGTATGAACTTAACAATTTTAATTGTCACATTTAGAAATTATTGTTTTCTTGTATGTATTGAGTGTGAGTACATTAAAACTTTATTATGTGTATAAATTGACAATAAACATATGATGGTTAATATGGTTTTGGAGTGATGTTGGAGTCTTAGGGGTTGTGGGTTCAAATCTTGGTTAGAGTAAAAAGAAGAAAATAATCAATAAAATTTTTGTAATATAATCCGCTGAGCGGATTATATTTGGAATCTCTCTCTTACTTGCGGCCTCATATCCGCTGGGCGCATGAGAAATCCGCTGAGCGGATTGCGAGTCGAAATCTTATACTTGCGGCCTCATATCCATTGAGCGGAAAATTAGGTGAAATAAGACTCAACCATTTGACTTTTAAATGAAACATTCTGCAAGTTTTTCGTAGTTCCTCGTTTCTCTCTTTCTCTTAAAACTTTTCTTACCTTCAAGCGTCATTTTGAGGGAGAAATCTTGTTTTTCTTGAGAAGCTCCAATAGATAAGTTGGTTTATCTCAATCTCCTCTACATTTCTACCGTTTTATTTTTCAAAACGGTGCATTTTCTATTTTTCTCCTCACTTGGCTCAACTTGAATGGATGTAGGAAGAAGGTTATTGTAGGTTTTACACCTAGAATACTAGAATGATGCTTAAAATTGAGGATTAGAAGTTGTTAAGCTAAAAACTTTAAGAGCCCTAATTCGTAGGTACTATTCATTGAATTTTTGGGACTTGTGTGAATAGAATTAGGAATTGGTATCTTCATGAAAGTTGTAGCCCTTTAAGTTGTCGAAATTTAGAAACTGGTTTTACATTAAACGGATATTAGTAGCTCAAGTTATACCCATTTTACTGTCAAGTGTTCTAGCTGTGACGTTAAGATGTTGCCCTGTTTCAATAGCCTCGGTTTTTGAATTACTGGGATTGATACGTATGAAATTAGGACTTTATTCCTTCATAAAAGTTGTAGGAAATTATATCCCCGAAATTTAGAAATTTGTTTCATGTCAATATCTTATGTTTATCATGAGTTATAGTCAAATTACCAAGGCATGTTCAGAGTGTTATTGTAATTGAGCCCAGTTGGAAATAACCACTGAAAACTGAAAACTGCATCTATTCTATAGGGTATTTGAATTTATTTCCTTCATCAATATTGTAGGTAATTAAGTTATTAAAATTTTGGCTCAAATCTCATGCCAAAACAGTTTATATAACTCTAGAAAATTTCGAAATACTGAACCTTGTCCATGGTTGTTATTAGGATTCATTCTACTCTAAGTGCCTACAAAATAGGATAATTTCTAAGTTAATTGTAAGCTGAATTTGAGCTTAAAATATTATTAGAAATGGATTAACAATACAAAATGAATTTAAATTCTCATGAGATAGAATCATAGAAATATAAGATTCTAACTAGCATTTTATTACGTATATAGATTTTGCTGAAACATAACATCAAGCTTTGAAAGGAATAAGTGTGAACGTATTAGGTAAGGGGTGGGCTATATAGTAAGGATTACATCATAAACTTGTTTGACCTTATTTGTTGAA